TCTAATTTCTGTTAATAATTTGTGTTTTACTCTTGGCTTTTTACCCTGCCAAATGAATTTTGCCAAATGAATTTTGCCAATCTTTGAAACAATTTACTCCACTAATTATTGGTATTGTTTGGAATAGGAACATCTTCAGCAGCACGGTCATCTTAACTGTGGATATCCTTCCCCAAAGGGACAAATTTAACCTTCCCCAGATTTCCAATTTTTTTTTTACTTCTTTCCATGTTTTTACGTAAAGTATCGTTGTAAAGATTTATATTTTTTGTCGTGATACAAATTCCTAAGAATTTCGCTTTATTGGTTATCTTTAACCCCATCCTGATTTCTAATTCTTTTTTCTTCATCATCCAAATTTTTCGCTAACCATTTTGTTTTATCTTTATTCACCGGCCTGGGTGATTTCCCCATTTTTGTTTTGTTTTTATTACTTGTCGTAATTCTTCTGTACTTATAGGTGAGTTTAAATACATTTGTTCCTCTTCTGTTATTATTGGTAATTTATTTTGATTCAAATATTTTACTAGTTTAGTTTCTTCTTTTTCTTCAGTTTTATATATTTTGTAATAATTTTGAAGCTCCTTTTTATTTTTTTCTGGATCCTCAATCTCCTCCCTTTGATTATTTATTTTCCCTATTATTTTATCTTTTTGTCTTTTCTTTAGTAACAATGCTAACATCCACCTAAGCCTAATGCCTAAGCCATTTAATTTTGTTTTCTACTTCTTTGTTAATTAAATTCAAAATGTGTGCTTGTAGGATCTTAATATCTTGTCTGGCCTTTTCATTTTTTTGGGTTTTTGACCAAGTCTTTCTCACACTGTCTGATCTGTTTTGTTATTTGCTGTATATTATTTCCCTCTTTCCCCCTCTTTATTGCTGTCAAATCTGTGTTTGGATCTTAAAACAGGTTAAGTTAGAAAGCATCACAGCCATTCCCCCCCCCCCGTCCCCCAGACCTGATTCCACGTTGCTCAGGGGGGCTTCGTGGCTGAGCCAGGGAGATGAATATCTGAAGGAGGAAAGAGGGGGCGAGAAACTTGCAATCCGTCAATTTCTGTGGGTGACAAGGGTACAGCATGAGACTCTTCAACTCAGGGTCATGTGTTTGAGTCCCCCATTGGGCAAAAGATTCTTGCATTGCCGGGGGTCGGACCAGATGAGCCTCGTGGTCCCTTCCAACTCTATGGTTCTGTGATTCTGACTTACATCCAAAGCACAAATCCTGGATGAGGATGTTTTTATTATGGTCCAATCCGAGGGCTCAATGGATGTGCTTCCTTCAAGAGGAGGGGGAGGGCTGGACAAGGAACAGATACCAAACACCCAGGTCTCTGCCCAAGATGGCACCCCTGAAATTAGAAAACATATTTGAAACCCCCTGGTACCTGCCCACCCATTTTAGCACCATCATTCAGCATTACCATATACAACTGGGAGATCAGGGCCACAGATGAGAAGCTCCGGGCTAGCAGTGTGCACATCCCACCCTCTCAGGAAAAAGATAGTAAGTCCGCTTCAAGTCTTCCCCCACCAAGTCAAGCTTCCCCTCTGCCAGTCTTTCTCCCCAGGGTGTCACAGGACCGTCTCCCATTATGCCTGGCCTACAATTCCACGGCTGACAGTGGGGGGCGCCCTCCCCTGTGACTGCCATAGGTGGTATCCTGCCACAGCAAAGTCAGGCCCCAGACCTCCCACCCCAGCGATATCCATTCAGCCAGCCACCAAACACAGCCTCACCCTGCAACTGCAACCAACACTCTCCTACCTCCAGGCTGGTATCTCAAAGGGCAAACAAACTGATGCGGGCCAAAGACATAATACTCTTCTTGGCTGGGAGAATGGGGACCAGGACGATCCCAACTAGCCTCTCCTGGCTTAGTCCTCTGCCTCTTGGCTACTACAACCCAAGGTACAGCAGAATAGTTGCAGCAAAGGCACTCTAAAACACGCTTTATTGTGGTGTTTCTGCACTCACATTTAGGAATGCCACTCCAATAGAACCCCACCCCCTCTATAGCCACTTGTATGCCTTAAGGACAGCATTTTGTAACTGCTGAGAAAATGGCAAGCCACTAATTAGAGCAAAAACTTCAAATTATCAACACTCTGCAAAGTTAAGACAAATCAGGCTTTTGCTTACATTGTGTACTTTTACATTCAGCCAGATATATTGACGCTCTAGGAGCATTGGGGCCAACTTAAATTATGGTAACATTCTGATAAATGAAAGAGATAACCAGGCAACACAACCTTTATCCTTTCCACCCCAGAGGGAAACTCATAACCAAATTCAGATTGTGAAGAGAGCTGTAGGGGAGTTTTACATTAAAAGTGTTACTTCCAAGAACGAGCATCTGACTGATTTATTTAGCGTTAGGGATTTAATTAAGAACCTATGCACTCATATAAATAGTGACAGAATAGGTCGGAAGATAGATTCTAATTTTGCATTTCCCACACGATACAAATGTCCTCAGGCGGTGTCAGGGATCAGGCTGGGGAGTCCTACTTTGGTGAGAAGTGGTGGGAGGCCCCCCCCCCCCCGGCACAGAACCAGGATCCTGGGGCTCTACAGGAGCAGGAGAGGAGGACTGACCTGGAATGATGGTTTGCTGAGGGGCACAGTTCGGAGGACGGAAGCTGGGCAGAATTGAGGCAGAACGGGAGGAGAGTTATGTTATGTACTGAAGTTCTCACCCTGGGCCAGCAGGGGGATACTGTGGATAGTTCAGGTCCACATATGCAAATAAGGGATCGAAAGTGACATTCAATGACTGGATAGTTACAGAAAATGGTTACTGTTGCGTTCTAGTGGAGCTCTATATAAGCAGGCTGGCTGACCCCTTCAGTTCAGTTCTGTTCTGTGAATAAACAAGAGCTGTTTGAAGAATCACTGTGTCGTCTGATATGTTCACCCACAACTTAACAAGTTAACCAAATCTCCCACACTGGAAGGTATACAGACTCTTAGTCCCAGGGCTAGGAGACTGGATAAGGTAACTTCACAGAAGGCTATTGGTTGAGATTGGGTAAATAAGAAAGGGGGTGGTGGAAGTGGGAGGAACTTAATGGGGAGCACCTGCACTGCGAAAATGGTCGTTTGTTTTTTTGCTGCGTTCATTAAACGTTTCTGATGCTGGCAAGAGACTGCTTTATCTTGCATTGCTTATCTACGGTCCAAGTGAGAAGGAAGCTGGCCCAAAGCCTGACAGGCCTCAGGATTCACAGGGGCAGATCCAGATGTTGATCTTTCTTCCTGCCTTGATCCGAAGGTAGATCTTCCCTCCCCTCTTCTTCCCTGGCAGGGCATGGGGACACCATTTTGGAGTCTGCCCCAGGTGCCTTGCACACAGCACCCCCAGGTGGCAGCATCACCCCATTGGCAATTTCTTTTAGTGAAGTATCTCTCACGCATAATCCCAGAATATGTTGACGGAGCTTTAGCATTCACATGACAAGTTACCCACCAATCACAAAACTAAGGTAATGGTATTTAAGCATATGCCTGTATTGCAAAGCTGATTTCAACAGATAGAAAAAGCTCAAGGGAAGATGTCCTGCTGTCGTTCCTTCAGAAGTCTAAAAGGCAGTGTGCTGGAGAGTAGACAAAGATCTGCAAGATCTTACCCCCTCTTGTTCTCCCAAAATGTCTGCCAAAGGAGCCCCCAAGTATGTCATCTCTGGAGCTGGCCACAATTTACCCTTACTGGGAGGTGGGCAAATGTTTTCCCCAGCCTTATGAGGAAAGGTTGAAGGAGCTGCATATATTTAGCCTGGAAAAGAGGAGACTGAGAGGAGATACGATAGCCAATTTCAAATATCTCAAGGGCTGTCACATGAAAGATGGAACAAGGTTGTTTTCTCTTGCTTGAACCAATGGCTTCAAGTTACAAGGAAGGAGATTCTTACTAAACATCAGGAAGAACTTTCTGACAGTAAGAGCTGTTAGACAGTGGAGTGGACTCCCTTGGGAAGAGGTGGGCTCTCCTTTTTTGGAGGTTTGAAGCAAAATCTGTAATGGATGCTCTAGTTGAGATTCCTGCACTGAGGCTGGACTAGATGACTCTTGGGGTCCCTTCCAACTCTACAATTGTATGATCATGTAGCAGGAATAATTAGGAACAGCTGAACTGTTTGGCATTTATTTAAAATGTCACCCAAAGGAAAAAAGGCAATCTTAGTGTTTTATGCTCAAAGCAGCTTTAAGGGAAAATAGTGCTTTGACAACTTCTGTGCAAAACTATCACTGGAGAATAAATTCAGCGCACAGGATTTCCCCCTATACTGTGGTCGGGGAAGTCGGAATACCATAGCAGAACAACTGGAGCATGCAGATGAGCCCCAGGCCATGCCTTGTAAGATAATGAAGAGGAGAAAGTAAAAAAAGCTGGGGCGGGGGGGGGGAGACTTCACCTTGCTCACTGGCAGGTATCTGTGGGCTCCAGTTCACTATGATCTGAAGGGGCATTAACCAATCAGCTCCATTTGTGATCCTGCAGTTATCCACAGAGGCAATAATAATAATAACAACTAAAACAAGTAATTTTAAACACAGTAAAAAGGATGACAAATAATTATGTATATCACTTTACCAAGGAAGTTTACAATCCAGAAAAGCTGGGAGAGCAGGCACAGGCCCAGCTCCGCTACTGGAAAAGTTCCCATTTATATTACATGACAAATGGAACAATGATGTCTCTTGGCACCGCGAAGGAAGGGCAAAGGCCCTCACCAGTTTCAGCCAAGGTGTGAAATAGCCCCAGCCGCTTCCTTCTCACCTGCAGGCACCTTGTCCTACTCAGCACACATCCCTTGCCCCACATAGCCCTGTCCTCAGCTGCTGCTCTTCTCTCCAGAGCTGCCACGGGGTGTGCGAAGGCAGTGCCAGCGGAAAGACAGGGCAACATTCCCAGATGCCCATTTCTTTCCAAGTGTACAGTGCTGGTATTGTTTTGTATGCTTGAACCGCAGAAAGGAAGACATGAGAGGCGAAATGTATCTAAAGAACAGATTAAACATTTTAATAGGCTAATGCCATTTGGCTTTAAGAATATACAGTAAAGGATATTTTCTAACAGTCCCCAGTAGAGCTGTGTTTTTCAAGCTATTACCAAGGGTACTGATCAACAATCCCCTCAAAAGAGAACTTTCTCTCCACTTAAAATCTTGTCGTATAGAATTTTTTGTTACATTTAGATTATGAAAACATGCATCTATATTCCTCATATACAAAAATGAAGGGGCATAAATATATAGCACCACCCTATAGACATCTATGTCTATGGGGAAAGATTTCCAGTTTTGCAGCTAGGTGTATAAATTTGGATTTTTAAAGAAACCCACAAACAAGAAGCCCACGTGACATTGGATTGTCTTTTCCCGTCTGAAAACAAACTGTATGGAGGGCTGGAAATAAGTGAAATGAAAAGAACTCTCACTAGGGATTCTGAAACACCTCCCCCCCCAAAAAAAAAGTTGCACTCAACTTTCTATAGCTTCCAAATGGGAATATTATGGCAGTTAAAAAGGGCAGAACAAAAGAGAACCATAATAGCCAATACAAATAATGAATATCAGTGGTAGCAATATTATTGAATTATTTCCATATTGCAGTGTGGACTCTTTAAAGAATGGAAATATTTTGTTCTATGTTACATCTAGCTGAATTACATCTAAGGGGTCTGAATGTTTATGGAGGGAAATTCACATAACATATTAACAGCATATAATTTTATTGTGGAGTTTCAATAGCATGCATAATTTTACAGCACCTGTGAACAAGTCAGTGAAGCATAACTGCTTGAAATAACTTGCATTCTTTGGAATGTCTGCATACGTTCCCTATTTCCCATGATACAATATTAATTTAAGACATATCAGTGAGACCTCTATTGCTAAAAATACTCATAGCAGCATCTTTTAGAAGATTTTTATTATTATTATTATGAAATCAAGTCATTGCACTTCATCATTTATTGCTGCAGCAAAAAAGGCCATTTAATAATTAACACGTCCGATTTCATTGATTGTCAGGTCCTATTCATCTGCTATGAGCTTCAAGGCAGACAAAACTGTCATACAACAACTGATAATTAATACCATTTTGCCTTACACTCTGAATTTTATGTGAAGATCACATAAAAGAACTTTTTTCCAGTAGACTCACTTCTTGTTCTGCACAAGAATAAAACTTCAACAAGCTGGGATCAGAGAGGAGCTATTTCATTGCCCATTTATCTGAGAGAGCACAGACTAGTATTTGTGATGCAGCTGAACTACTGCCAGGTTGTAAGGACTAGAGGCAAGGGCCCCTTGCCCAGGGCCACGCAAAACGGGTTGGGGGCCCAAACCAGACAGGACAAATGTAGGCCCCATTTCTACACCTATCTATTTTTATCTGCATTAATCTCTTCTGAATCTTTTAAAAATATTTATATTTTGTGCCCTTGACTTTCTTTACAATACCAATTATCTTTACCCAAGGGTCCTCCTTTGCCTCTGCCAGTGGGGCTCAGAGGGCATCCCTTCAAAATCAGAGGCCCAGACCAACTGGCCCCTCTTCTGTTCTGGCCGGCCCTCATCCCAAGTCCGGCAGGTATCTGTGCTTCCACCAAAAGTTCTGTTTGTGGGGAAATACTTCACCAAGAAAGAACATAAGGATAAGGTGTTTTGCCTCCTACAAATTGGGCTTCTGCTGTTTCTTTCCCCCCTTTTTCTTTTTTTAAAAACCTTTTTGCACCTCATGGTAGTTTTCTGAAAAAACCCAACAGAAATGGAGAGAAACTGTTCCTCTTTTCTTTTCCACAGAGGGTATGTTTTTTGAGAGGCAGTAAACAAATGCTACTCCTAAAAATTCTTGAAAAGCCTTTTTTATGGCAAAGGAAAGCAGCTGCTGTTTGACAGGAGACAGCAGGAGAGTGTGGCTGGTGTTTCTAAAAAGGCCCAACTTGCAGTGCAAACAAAATCACCTCCCTTTTCCTTCATGGAGAATAGAGAAGAAAGGAGTGGCAGTTTCAGTCCTGCAAACTGTGCTTTTGTAGAAAGCTCCAGGAGCAAAGTACTCCTGTAGAAATCCCAATGGAAAGGAAAGAAATGGCCCCTTCTTTTTTACATGAACCAGGGCGGTGGAAGAGATGGCTTCTTGCTCCCCCTTTGGGCTTTTCAAGGCTGCAGCAAAAGCACAACCTGTAGGATGGCAGTCAGCTGTCTCCTCTGCTTTTCCTTGAGCTTCTGCAGCAGCAACGGCAGGAAGGTGCCGTTTGAACCTTCTGCAGAAAGTCCAACTCTGGGGCAGACGCCCTCCTCCCCACGTCCTCTGCACATGCCAGGAGACTCAGTGGGAGGAGGAATCAATGGCAACACAAGTCACAGGTATGGCTAGTAAGACAAGACAAAAGTTGTTGACCAACAAAAATTATGAATTAGTATCAGATTAGATTTCCTAGATCTGCCTTTCTTAACCATGGGTCCCCAGATGTTGTTGGACTACAACTGCCATCATCCATAGCCAGCAGCAGTCAGGGATGATGTGAGTCCGGCAATATTTGGGAACTCAAGGTTAAGAAAGGCTGCACTAGACTGATGGTTTGACTAGTAAATTAGCAAGTGTGAAAAATGGCAACAACAAAAAAACATTAACAACTGATTCATTAGATGGTTGTCATTAGTTAAGCACCAATATGGTAACCAAACAGGCATTTTGTTTTTAGACACCCATTTCCGTTCCTACATTTTAATCCACTAATTCACAAGTGATATACCTGCAAGTAGATTTCTGCACTTGCTAACAATTAATAATTGTTGGTATTCTTATACAACTATGACAAAATACTTATGCCATCCAAGTTTTGTTTAATTAAAGGAGAGCAGATGAACATGAAAACTACTGACACGGGAAAAGTTAAGATTTCACATTATTTTAATTTGGTTAACTAAAAACCACTCTGGAAATATTGCCTTTTTATACTCTTTTAGAAAAGAAATGAAGGAGAAACAAGAGACAGAATGGGTTTTGTATTTTTAGCATTGGCTTGAATGCAACGTGGAGCCTTTTTAGTTTTCCTCCTTTGTAGGAAGAAATGGGGAGGGGCAAAATGACTCCAAAAAGAAGTCTTTTCTTCCAAACAAAATCAACTCCTTTCATTTAGGAGCACATTGCAGTACTATGATGTACACAAGAATCCAGTCTCTACGAATCCTCTTGTGCCTTAGTGTAGGTAGCAGCAAGATTGCATGTCGTCAACAGGTGGGTAACTCTAAACACTTCACTGTCACATGAAGATTTTAATAATGCTATTATGATTAGTGCTAAAAATCTGTATGAAGCTGTAAGATACTGTAGTGTTAGAATAAAATTTATGAAAGAAGAATTGCTTAGCATGCCATGTGCTGCAATATTTAGGCACAACAGGGTGAATTACAAGACCATTTCAACCTTATGCCCACATTCCTTGTGGAAATTAAGCATTGACCTGGGTGTGGGGGTTTGTGTGGGGTCCAACCCCAAGTCCCTTTCATGACTCCTATAGTGCAACTGACAGAATATTCTTCTCAAACTATTAAGCAGTTGTGACTTTTCTGCTCCATAGCAAGAACAAACTCCCAGCATCATCCTGAACTATAAAACAGCATATTATTAATACTCTCACTGCAGACAGGCACAACAGTGTAACCCTGGGTAGAAATGCAAAAAATAATAATAATAATAATTAAAAAAATACAAACATCATATTCCCTTTAGCATTGTGGGGAAAGTAGTGGCTATAATAAGTACAAGGGTAGACCAGGTGCCTCCCTAGAGGCTCCTTTACAGGGCTTCTTTGCAAAGATATACTGCCTTATATATATAGTACAGATCTCTTAAAAATTAGACTATAGGTGCTCAATAAAAATCTAATAAGAACCCCTCTTTTTATACAGATTCAGTAGTATTTTCAAGCAAACCAAGGAAATAAAGGTCTGCGATTCCAGCACAGTAAGAAATAAGGCCCCTCCTATATTGGTAAGAAACAAAAAAGCGGTTCATTTTCTTCTCTTAGCTCACTAAATAGAAGATTATATTCATTTATCCTTTTTTTACGGAATGCTGCCCATTCATTGGTTTGAAGTAAAAAAAGAAAAGTCAAGTCAGCTTCATTTGTATTTTGACTCTGAAATCCTGGCAAGGTCTATGGCTCTTTCATGTCGTTATGACAGCTTTCTTCAGCTTCTCTATTTCCACCTGTGGATGAGACACATTAAAACTTTTAATACAGAAATGAATAACTTTGCCTATATTTTCCAGTAATGCTTAAATACGTGCTACAACATCTTTGGTAGGAAAGCTGATCACCAGAGCCGGGATGGGGGAGCCTGTGCCCCCTCCCATCTGCCCCAGGCAGCCTGGCCCTCGGTCAGGGAGGAGGGGAGTTGCAGGCCAGCAATATCAGGCGCCCACAAGTTCTGTGTCTTCTATTGTAGGGCTAGTGAAAAGCTTAAGAATGTCAATTGTATTCATTGAGCCATCCAGCCATTGAAACATCTTTGTGAAATTAATGTGCATCTAACCTGAGTTAGGTTTTGTACCATAAAACACTCCAGCAGATAAACATATTTGCTCACAACTGAATGCGTTGAATGCAAATGTGTATTGAAACTGTGGTTTAAAAAATAATAATTCTAAAGCTTTTCACTAGCACAAATGATAATAATTTCATGTTATTCATTATCTGCTTCTAGACTAATTGCAACTGAGGCTACTTAAGCTTAAGGTGTGATTCATAAAGAAACATGGCAGAAGCATGGGCTCATCCCCTCAATATTTTGGCACCTAGCATTGTTGGTAGAGCATGAGACTCAATGACGGGATGGTGGGTTCAAGCCCCACTTGAGGCAAGATTCCTGCCTTGCAGGAGGTACTAGAGGAGCCTCAAGGTAAAAAGGTAAAGGTACCCCTGCCCGTACGGGCCAGTCTTGCCAGACTCTAGGGTTGTGCGCTCATCTCACTCTATAGGCCGGGAGCCAGTGCTGTCCGCAGACACTTCCGGGTCACATGGCCAGCGTGGCATCACTGCTCTGGCAGGCCAGCGCAGCACACGGAACACCGTTTACCTTCCCGCTAGTAAGCGGTCCCTATTTATCTACTTGCACCCGAAGGTGCTTTCGAACTGCTAGGTTGGCAGGCGCTGGGACCAAACGACAGGAGCGCACCCCGCCGCAGGGATTCGAACCGCCGACCTTTCGATCGGCAAGTCCTAGGTGCTGAGGCTTTAAACCACAGCGCCACCTGCGTCCCAGATGAGCCTCAAGGCCCCTTCCAATTCTACAATTCTATGAAAAAACTGTTCCTTAATACAAACCTACATCAAAGTGATACAGCATAAAATTATGATTAATTTAGTCATGAACAGCTGCTAAACAATCTTAAATGAGGCATATACCGTATTTTTCGCTCTATAAGACGCACCAGACCACAAGACGCACCTAGTTTTTGGAGAAGGAAAACAAGATAAAAAATATTCTGAATCTCAGAAGCCAGAACAGCAAGAGGTATCTTTGCGCAGCGAAAGCAGCAATCCCTCTTGCTGTTCTGGCTTCTGTGATAGCTGCACAGCCTGCATTCGTTCCATAAGACGCACACACATTTCTTCTTACTTTTTAGGAGGGAAAAAGTGAGTTTTATAGAGCAAAAAATATGGTATATACCCAGTTTTCAAGAAAAGGTTTTAGCCATTTTGAATGCCCCCCTTCCTGCTCTCAAAACAACACTCGTGGAAATGGCAACACCTGGATTTCAACCTAAGGACTGGGAGATATCTCAGGAAAAACAATGCTCCAATATTGTTCCCCCAAGTTTCCTATCCAGTCTAGTGTCTCTACTTTGTATTTGGGGGAATTCTTCTCCCCGTCAGCAAAACAATAAAGTCAATGTGTGAAGCATTTTTTAGTGGCAGAGTTGAATTTAGGAGAGAGAGAGCCATGCAGTCACACTGGGCATGCAGCCGAGGAGGGCACCTGCTCAAGGCCCAGTAAGTGCTTGCCTGTCTTTGGGAAGGAGGTGTGAGGACTCTGAGAGGGCCCTAGAGTCCTCTTGCTTCCTTCCTCAAGTTGAGCAAGTACCGTATTTTTCGCCCCATAGGATGCACCGCCCCATAAGACGCACCTTTTTTGGGGGGGATAAAGAAAAGAATTTTATTTCCCCCCCCAGGCGCGGGGGAAGCCCGAGCTTCCCCCAACCCCAGCTCCCAGAACAGGCTGCTGCCTGCAAGCCTCGCGCACCCGGCACGACCTTCCGCCAGGCGCGGGAGGCTTGCGGACACCTTCCCGAAGCACGGGGTGTCCTCCATAGGGCACCCGGTGCTTCGGGATGCAGGCTGCCGCCCCAAGCCTCGCGCGCCCGGCAGGACCTTCCGCCAGGCGCGGGAGGCTTGTGGACACTCGCCTGAAGCACGGGGCGTCCTCCGGAGGGCACCCCGTGCTTCGGGATGCAGGCTGCCGCCCCAAGCCTCGCGCGCCCGGCAGGACCTCCCACCGGGCACGGGAGGCTTGCGGACACCTTCCCGAAGCACGGGGCGTCCTCCGGAGGGCACCCCGTGCTTTGGGATGCAGGCTGCCGCCCCAAGCCTCGTGCACCCGGCAGGTCCTTCCGCCAGGCGCGGGAGGCTTGCGGACACCTTCCCAAAGCACGGGGCGTCCTCCGGAGGGCGCCCTGTGCTCCGGCTGCAGGCTGTTGCCCGCAAGCCTTGCGAGCCCGCGGGAACTCCCCCGGGCTCGCAAGGCTTGCGGATAGCTTCCTGAAGCCTGGAGAGCGAGAGGGGTCGGTGCGCACCGATGCCTCTCGCTTTCCAGGCTTCAGCGAAAGCCTGCATTCGCCCCATAGGCGAATTTCCCCTTCATTTTTGGAGGGGGAAAAGTGCCCTTCATTTTTGGAGGGGGAAAAGTGCGTCCTATAGGGCGAAAAATATGGTATTTACCTGTCTTTGGGAAGGAGGTAAATGGCTCTAGGACTCTGCCAGAGCCCCACAGCTCCTTCCCAAAGCCTGGCTCTGCAAGGGCAGTGGGGAGCGCATCAAATGGTCTTGCACAGACCATGGCAACCATTGGTCTTGCACAGGGCAGCATATTGCCACGGTCCACCCCCTCCCACCCCAATAGGGGCTGCTTTATTAAACAATAGCCCTTCATTCAACTTCTAAAAATAATGGAATTATGAAAAACAAAGCCTCCTACTGCTTCAAATAACTTATTCAAACACATTACCTCTAGGTTACTTCGCATCTGCTTCTCTTTCTCCAACTCCCTTTTCAGTTTTTCCAGTTCCTTCCTTTAAAAGTTAAAGGCAAACCTAGTTAAATTTTGCCATGTGAAATTTTACTTCTTTTTGTGGTTGAAGAAACATATAGTATATAAACTATGCCCAGACTCAAAGCAGAAAGAACAGCCACAGAGGAAAGTTGCGCAAGTGCTTTGCCTCCAGAATTACAGTGTGGATCTAAATCAGCAAGAACATCAGCTGGTTTAAATCCATCTCATTCATATTGCTTTATAGAGTTCCTAAACAATCGTGCAAAATCTGACCACTAAACTATGTTAATTTGCAACTAAAGAGCATTATTGACACATTTCGACTGCTCCCTCCCCCTTTTTTTTACCACTGGAGGGAATGTCTTTAAAATATTACCCTACAGGGTTTCTCATACAAGTAGCACCCATGACAGCTTGTTAGTCAAAAACAATCCTATATATGTTTACACAGAAGTAAGTCCTGATGAGTTCAAGGGGGCTTTCTCCCAGGTAAGAGGGTAAGGGATTGCAGCCAAAGTGTGGGAATACAGGAGCTGGCACACTGGAGAACGGCTTGTCTTCTTTCTGAGGCTGCCCCTTCCTGCTTTCCTCTGTCTTGGCTCAGACCCATGCTCAGAAAAACAAAGAAAGAACTGCCACCACCAACCAATGAAACAAGAAACAAGGAACAAGGAAAACAACCCATGACTGATGTGGTTCGAAGGAGGTATGGAGCAGGCTACAGCACGGTAGAATCACATCACATGCAGGAGTTTTGTTCCAGAGGCAGTGCAAAAATGCTTAATGCCAAACTTCTTGGCTGCTGGCTGGCAAGCAGGGGGCACCCCTGTGTGAATGTCCTACTTGTTTCTCCACTGCCTTCCCTCAGTTCTCCACAACTGCTTTCCCTGCTCCCTGGGTTGTTGAGGCAAGGAGGAGAGAGCGCCGATAGGCAACCGGGCTCCCTTGGAGAGACACTGAGACAGAAGGGAAGCAAACCCTGAGAAACGCAGGCAGAAGAACAGGTCTGCAATGGAGCTGCACCTTCGGCCTGCATCCCTGTCTTCCTGCCACTCCTCCGCTGCAACCCTTGCTTGGAAGGCCACCACAGGAGCCAATCACCCCACCACTGCTTCTCTGCTGGCTGTCCCAGCCATGGGAGCCAAGTTCCTGCTCCAGACTCTGTCCTCCTCACTGTGACACCCCAGAGGGGAGGGGAGGGTGCAGAGTGGCACCCGGCTTCCTCGGCTGAAACAGTGGGAAGCAGCAAGACAAAAAGGGAGCTGGAGGGAGACCCAGGCAGAAGCTGCACTTCCATTCCAGGCTTTTACTTCTGCCTGGAGATCAGCTCGAGCCCAGGAAGTTAAGACTGAATTTGAACAAGTTCAATGCATGTGCGGTGTGACTCCACTGTAGTATAGTTTCCTCAAGTCTCAGGGTATCATCTGAAGGCACATGAGACCCACACCTTAAAGCTAAGGACACCTGGGTCTGCTCAGCGTCTCGATGGAGAACCTTAGAAAAGGCCTGCTCCCTTGCAATCCATAAGGGAGCAAAGGTGGAACATTGGGAGGTATTTAAATGGAATGAACAAATAAATGAATAAAATGCTGGCTAGATAAAAGCTGAAGCCTAGCAGGCTAGTGCTTAAATCTTGGGTGGTCATATCCACACACACATCCCAATTTGTCCATTTTATAAAAAAAAATGCAAGATAGATTCTTTTTTAAAACAAACAAACAAACAAACAAACAAACAAACAAACCCTTACTGCCCCTGCTGATCCCCACTTGATGCCAACCCACTCCCCACCCTGCCCTTAAGACATCATATAATATTAATACAGGAGGCTATGCTAAAATCCTTGCACAAAAGAGCCATGACATAAATCTGCTGTATCTTTCATCCACAAATCCAGTGAAATTAGCACTTACCCATGTTCTTTCTTTAGTGTTTCTACGACAGCTAGCAGGTCAAAAACCTGTGACCTGAGGTCTTCCAGAGAAGGCTTCTCCCTTTCATCTATTTCCTGTTTAAGTTTCATTTCCCCAGTAACAGCACCGAGTACAAAAGAATTTGGTCTGGGTGATGAAGACAGAAGTGGCTGAGCAAATAGAGATGGCTGAAAGAAGAAGGAAGTCATCTAATAAGTAAATGTACACTATGCAAATAATGCAAGCTGTCAAAATTGTATATTGAAGGACAAGCAAAGTCTGCTTAATTGCTGCTGACCCCCACCCCTGCAAAGAAGTGAAGCTTGAAATACTTCCAGTGACCCCTGGGAAGACGGCTGCCGGGGGCAGGGGAGGCTCGCCTGCGGCCCTTAGAAGCCGAGGGACTCCCTCCCATCAGGCCCTGACAGCCTGCGCAACAACCAAGGGGGGTGGAAGTGGAAGTGCAGCAACATTGGGAGGGCCACAGGCTCACTCCTGCCACTCGACAGTGGCTTAAAAAGCTGTTTCTTGTATTTCCCACACAGTGGAAAGCCAGGCTTATTTCAGTGTTTCTTAAAACTCTGTCCATCTGAGAAAGAGCATCTCCACAAAAGCAACGTATCAGTTATGACCCTCATTACCTTTCCCAAGCAATCTTCTAAGCGAGTTTTAAAAATGTATGTTGCTAACAAAGTTAGTGCTAACACTCTGAGGATATTTTACTTAGAACAGCAGAGAATACATTCAGCTAAAGTGACTTTTTCTATGAGCCACTCAAAATAAATGTATACCCCTTTTCTGTATAGAATCATATTACATGAGTGGATACAACAAAATTATGACCTGCTATTATTAGATTTCTTATTACAACTAACTTAAGCCATCTCAATTCTGTACCTTTTTAACTTCGGGTGGCTTTACTTTGGCACTTTCTTCCTCCTCTTTATGCTCCTTCCCACTTTTCTCTATGCTTAAATTCTGAGTAGTCTAGAGGGAAAAAGAAAAGGGAAAAATCTGCATTCTGTGTGAAGCAAACCCACCTATTTTAAAAGCTAAAAGCACACATTTCCATCTATTACTCCTATTGGTAATATGCATCTAGTACATTCATTCATACATACATTAGACTTGTAAGTGAAAGAATTATGAAACCTGACATTTCTATGTATTATTATTATTACTATTATTACCACCTATTATTGATTAAATTTATGGTGTACCCCCCAATACACAGAAGATAGACAGAAGACACACAGTTCCCTGTACTCACATAATTTCTGCCGTTGAAGCGAGTGGGAAGCCTCCTGCCAGGCATCTTTGGCCGATTAGCAGTGGGATGTGATAAATTATCTGAGGTAGCTATTATATGATCAAAACTTGAAATTTCTGGAAAAGATTTGAAAACAGAGGTCACAATTAAAGCTCAGAAAACAATCTTAGAGGAGAAGTATAAAATGTTGTCAAAATATATGACAAAAACCACCAACACAATATGACAGCTGGGACAGCTCGGTCGGTAGAGCTGGAGACTCTGAAGCTCCACGATGGGCATTGCAGGCAAGTGGACTAGATGACCCTCATGGTCCCTTCCAACTCTACCCTTCTATGAATCTATGATTCTACCAATATCAGTGCAGAAAATAAAGATTAGAGTGGCAATTAATATGCTAAAAGAGGACTCCATGTTAAAAATAAAGGTGACAATGAAAATTGGGAGCAAGACACAAAACTCAACTGACTCTGTAACTTTCTGATCTCTTTCTCAGAATAAGATTGCAATTAAACATTTAGAAAACCATATACAACTACAAGTGTTAAGTAAATGATTCTATGCGATTAAACAGCTATTCAGCCACTCAAGTCTCAACTTACCGTATCTGTAATGCAGCAACCTGAGTAACAAAAGGATGCATGAATGTATGTATATGAGCAGGGTTGCCAAGTTGTGAAAACTAAGCGCCTTGCGGAGTTCATTTGTGTAAAGCAGGGGTCAGCAAAGTTTTTGTGGCTTGGGCCGGTTCACGGTCCCGCAGACGCTGCGGTGGGCCGGAGTGTGTATGCGCGCATGCGCAAATGCTATTTCCAGTGCTCCTTCCGGCGCGGAGGAGGCGTGCGCAGCTTCCCATTGGCTGCAGGAGCTTCCTGCAGCCAATGCGAAGCGAGCCAGCATCGTGGAAGGCGGTCTCCGCTCTGCTCTGCACCGGTTTAGCCAACTGAGCGGGCGGCAGGGGTCCCCAAGAGGCAGCGAGGGTCCATGTGGCACAGTGGCCTTAGGTTGCCGACCCCAGGTGTAAAGTCTACATGTTAACCTGCTGCGGTAAAAGCAAGCATCGTACTATGCCACAGACTAACCCACGCATTTATTAGCTTTCCTGAACAGAACATTTGTCCAGTTATACTTCTTCCTTTCTTTTTAAAGCTTACCTGCTTCTTTTAAGTTCTTTATTGCAACTGAATCTACCTCTACTGATTTTGGTCTCAGTGGTAACTGTTCAGAATCTAACTTTGGTTTTGTTGCTGGTTCAATTTCCGATTTTGGTCGCCAGGAAACAACATCCCCATTTGTCCTGTGTTTGAAAGAGAAAATGATTTAACATTAGGTATTACAGCAAAATAGGGAAACAAAAACCCCCCAGCATAATTTTGACAATTTAAGGCTTATTTTTTGATACACATGTTCATAAAAATAGGCTCATGAATCTAGTTCTCCAAATCTTGGTTTGGAGGCTCAGGAGTGGATCTGGTCCCACCTGCTTCAGTCTCTCCTCTTGCGCATGGATTCTTCCCTTTCATCATCCTTCTAAAATATTCTCTCAAGGAGAATTACACACAGAATAATTTAAAACAGGTAAAACTACTGCTGCTACTACTACTACTACTACTACTACTACTACATTTAAAGCAAGACTGAAACCCTAACAAATGGATACTTGTGGTAAAGACCCATTTACCCAGCAGGGGAAAGCCTTTGGGACAAAAACATCTTCAAGTGCTTCTGGAAAGAGCAGCTGGCAGTTGCTTGTCATATCTTGACAGAAATGCTGTTCCACAGAACAGGGGCAACCACACTGTAAACCTGCTGAGTTACTGCAGAGGGGGCTTTGGAGAACTTAGAGCTTGCAGGAGAAGCTCTCCTACAGACTGCAGCGACCTACTGGGTAGATAAGGAATAAGGCAGTGTCTTCAGTAACTGCTAGTTATGACAGCCACCTCCAGGATCAGAGGCTCCAGTCTCCAAATACTGGCCACTGGAGAACAGTGGAAGAGGGCAGTTGCCCTCCTGTTCTACCTGTGGGCTTCCTGTAGGCATGTGGTTGGGGTTGGACTAGATGATCCTTGGGGTCCCTTCCAACCCTACAATTCTGTGGCTTTCACATGTAAGGAAAGGGCATACTTACTTAGATATTGGTGGTTGCACAACTGGTTTATCTGGCCATTTTAAAGGCGAAATCCCAGATCTCAACGCATTATTTGCCTTGTTTGGCGGGATAGGCTTTTTGGGTGGTACTTGAGGAGCTGCTGGTTTAGATATTTTCTGATCCAAACTTGATTTTTCATCTGGCAAATAAAACAGAAATATCTGTCAGTAGTATTTGGGTGACTGGAAGAAAACGACCTTCTACAACTACCATTAGCTATTTCATAAGCTGACATCATACAAACAATGCAGTTACAATTTATTAGGAGCTTCTCCCAGATATAGGGTGTTCTGTCTGAGCAGAGGGCCCCAAAATGTGTAGCCCTGCTAGGAAGAATTCTGAACAAGGCTGGCTGTGAAAGAAGCAGAGAAAGCCAAAACTGGATTAAGGCCTAAAGCAACAAACTACTCCCTTCTAGTCGGTATTCTCAGATCCAGAAAGTCCCATGGGGACTGAAGCTGGTGTCCAGAAAGTCAAGAGCTGAAAAAAAGTTACACTTCTCAAACATCAACATTCATGAACATTATTAAGTTCTCTAAATCAGTAGGTGGGTCAACAAGAGCCCTAGGAAAGGAAGAGCCATCATTTCTAATGGTCTCCTTGACTTTTAATCAAAAGATAAAGATGTGTACTGTAAGAATTTCAGAATGATCAGAACAATGAGGAAACTCAAATATATATAAATAGTATCTATATAATACTTAAATTATCAAGAACATTTTTTTAAAAAAAACCCACACTCATACAAAATATCCAACAAGAAATACTATGAACCACCAACTACAGGTACCCGGTAAAAAGTCAATTTCAGCTATGAGTCTCTCTCAAGTTTATACAACTGATTGACGGCTTCTAACTTCTTAGGAAATGCTCTTTATCACTTTTCAGCTGGAATCAACAATAAGCCGTAGTCCTTCCAAAATGACTGTGTAATATGTACAATTCTTCAAACTTGCTGCATCGCTCTTTATACTAAACTGTTTCCTAAAAATGTAATTCTCTCCATAATAATATGCTGCATAATATTAGAATTAGAAATACTAAAACAAGTTTCACATCCAACATACTTGTTATCAACTAGACCTCCATATAAAATGCAAACTGGCTGAAAATCAGTCTTAATTCCACAACCCTAAGGAAGAAAACTCACCCCAAATGTATCTCATTTTACATTAACTGTAACATCCTTAAAATGGCATAGTCTCTATAACAGACATGGCTATTTATTTATTTCCTTTGCCTGTCCCCCTACTCCTGAGTAGGTTGGTGAGGGTCCTGCTGTCCCTGAGGAGAGCCAGGCAACAGCAGAATCCTTGCCAAGGGGCTTCTTCCCTTCTAGGTTTGTGCTGAAACGGGTGGACATGGTTCATGACAGGCAACGTGCAACAGGCAGCAAGAAATGAGCTAAAGAAGAAGAAGCCATAATCTTTCTCTTATAATGCTTTATAGGCAATTTCTCTAAATTTCGAAAACCTGAGTTTTGTAGTTCTAAAAGCTCTTGGGCCTCCCTAGCTGCTTTGTATACTCACCTGCTAGGAAAGAACAAATCAATTTGCTAAGTGCCCAAAATAAGAGGGTGGAATCTTGTAACTTCTACACGCTGTTGAAATCTCTCCAAGGTTCAGTTTACAAGCTGGCTTGCAGAGCAAGAACAACCCATAGTTTCTTTGTTTACATGAACATCAGACAATATATTGCCACCAAAAAATACATTTGAAGTACAGAGCCTGCGTGAAGGGGGAACATGCCAGCTCAAGGTTCTTAAGTGTTTGTTCACATAATGCTTTGATGCTGTGTTTTCATAAGTCCACCATTTGTCAGTCTTGACATATGCGGAGCCCTGAGTTACTATCCTGCCCTTCCTCCCAAAGGAGCCCAGGGTAACAAACAAAGCAGTAGAACACCACACCATGATGAAAAATAAAATAAGGAAAAACATTTAAAAATTGTATGAGCATCAAACAATAAAGACTACTGCATGCCCTTGTAGCTAATACTGTAATCCCACAGTTGCCAGGCTAAGTCTGAGGTCTGAAACAGAACTCGCCCCACCTTCTGGGAGCTACAGTCCAATGGAGCTAAGGTTGGTATGGCAAATAGCAACTGTATCACCACAAAAAAGAGGCATCTATCTCGCCCCCCCCGGCTCTCTCTCTCTGCCCTATTCTAATGTTAGATGACTGGCACGTGGGGGCGGTTTGCCCAAAACACATGGCAGGGCTTACTAGACCTGCAGACTCCCCACTGTTGCCCTAAGGGCTCACCTCTTCTCTTATGACTGGTTTCAGAATTGGCTTATTCCAGTTTTAGTAATTAACCTTTAATTGTACACCACTGTGAGCATTTTTTAACAGAGTGGCAGACTATAAATGTTTAAATAGAGTAGTGTAAAGTAATTCCATAAAATTCTCAGACCTCTGTAGCACAAAGTCTCAATATAAAATAAACTCGGCATGCTATAAATTAAAATCCTACTTGACTGCATCTCCTTTGACTGATAGATAGCCCAGAATTCAATTAAGAACTTTATTCAAGAGAAGCATTAAAAGGGGGTGGGGGGTGAGAGAAACAGTGAGCATGTGCCAGAAGAGGAAAATAAACCACACTGGATTACCGGTCTTCCTAGCTCTGAACTGGATAAACAAGAAGAGCAAACTTGTCCCGGTGTTGCTTCTGCAGTTGGCAGGCCCTTGAGATGGTTGACAGAGGAGTGACAGAGCATAAAGACAGAATGGCATGTTTTACGAGGCCCTAGTGAGGGGGAAGCCCATGCAGGCGGCGGAAGCACCAAATGTTAAGAATTGGCAAAGATGCAGCGAAGGTTTCCCTGTCAGAGAGCCGTGTGGATGAAGAGGGAAGGTTTCTTGGGGAGTGTAGAGTAGTAGTCAACTACAGAGAAATTGTCAGGCATGGCAGGTTCAGAGACACTGCCCATGTACATTTAAAAAAAAATAAATTTATAAACTACTGTGTCAGTCATTTATTGTCTTGATGTGATCAGGGATCAAACTGGTCTTTACCTTTTTCTTCATTCTTAGGAAGAGGAAACTTCTTCTCTGCCATCAGAAACTCTGGCTTTAAACCTGAATGCAAAGCCAATAATTAACTTAGGAACTATGCTTTTTTCTTTTGGGGGGGGGAGGGAGGAAGGGAGAATCAGAATCCTTATAGTTTTTAAGTTTATACAAAAAGGGCAGGCAACACAAGAAAGTAGAAGTATTTCAAAATGTGTGTTAAGTCCACAGTCCTTGTAAAAAAATAATAAATTGAAATAATTCCATGACATGGTCATGGAAAACCCTTTATACTATTATATGCATTGCTACAAAGGGAACAGTAGGAAAATGTTGGATACATGACATTCACACGAAAGCAACTCATGCAACACACTGGTGTTTATGCTTACATACACATTGCAAGGTAAGAACTCATACAATCTCAGCCATAGCAAGATTTCCCCTACGATCTTTAATACTGGTCAACTGTGTTTAAGTATATTTTAATGTTGGACCACCTTGAGCACTATATTAAACTAAAAGGCAGGGCTTTAGAAACAAACTTGTGTATCTCCAATAGAACAGTGTACCATCCCCAAATCAATTCTTCTTCTTTTAGTCAAAAGTTAAAGAGATAAAATCTTGGTTTGCATACCTGGACCTTTTGCAGGAGGTGGTGGCTTCTTTGGCTTCTGCAAAGGGGACATGATATCAATCACCACTGAGGGTCAATTATAATGCTGAATGCTATATGCTGACTTAGACAATGGTCCCCAGGTGTATCCCGCAAGTCCATTTTCTTTGCTGTAGGTAAGTTGCACTTGGATTAAGGACACCTCTGGTTTACTGGATATACCCAGGGACAAACTGTGCCATTACTAGTCTGTGAAATGCCACAGGTATTGTAAAATTTTCAAGAGTTGCATATATTTCTGTAACTTAAGTGCTATGACTAAAAAGTAATTTTAAAAGAAATTACTGTATTTTTCGCCCCATAGGGCGCACCTAGGGTTTTTTTTTGGGGGGGGATAAAGTTTTTTTTTTATTTCCCCCCCAGGCGCGGGGCTGGGGAAGCCCGACCCCTCTCGCTCTCCAGGCTTCAGCAAAAGCCTGCATTCGCCCCATAGGATGCACACACATTTCCCGTTCATTTTTGGAGGGTAAAAAGTAGGTCCTATAGGGCGAAAAATACGGTAATAATGAGGCCTAAAGAGTAAAAATGACTAATGAGCTAAATATGTTCAGTATTTGTTCTATCTCTGCCTTGAAGTAGGGGTACATGATTTCTATAAAATGATAGTGAGAACTTACAGGAAAATCTTTATCTGATTCATAAATCTGAACTGCAAAGTTGTCTGGAAAAACTCCTTCTTTTCCACCAAGCTCGCCTTTCCACCACCCAGCCTCTCCAGTATCCTAGAACAACAAACAGTTCTTTGTAAAAACAATTTTAAAAGTTGTAGAATATGTATTTCCCCCCCCAGAAAACACATAGTTTGGAGGAAAATATAATTTACTGCTCAGTTTTCAAAATAAATGCAACTTACACAATGAGAGCCCAGATTTTGTTTCTTTAAAACAACAGCTGTTTAAAAAGCCTGAGCGACTAAGAAAGCCAGGCACCCACAACCGGCCTTTCACTGCCAAGTCTGCTGTGTACCTGCCTCAACCTCATTTGGCTCAAACATACAAAGCAGGGACTCTGAATAGGATCTAGAGGTTCAGGCAAGCATATTTGGAGGAGAAGGCAATCTCCCAGGTAACCTGGTCCCAAGCCATTAAATCGTAAACAACAGTACTTTAAATTGGGCCCAGAAATAGGCTGGCAAAACAGGCTCAACCACCCTGTCTGTTAAAAACCTTGTGGTCCTATTCTGGACCAACAACAGCTTCCAGACCATTCTTGAAGGCAGTCCCACACTCTAAAGGAAATGTGATCATAGCGCCCAAGCTACTTCCATCTGGCTGTGGTTGTAGCTGGTATATTAGCGAGAAAAGCTGATAAAAAGATCTCTAGAGGCCACTTGAGCCTCTAACAACAATGCTGGATCAATAAGCACCTCTAGACAGTGGACCTAATTCTTCAGGGGGAGTGCAAGCCCATCCAGAATGGGCTGAATACCATTCACCTGGGTGGACGACCCACCCACCAATAGTACCTCCATCTTGTTTGGATTGAATCTCAGTTTGTTCACCCTCATTCAGTCCTTTACGGCACCCAAGCACCGATTCAGGTCATCTACCACCTCACCTGCATCTGATGAAAAAGAGAGATAAAGCTGGGTGTCATCCACATAGTGATGACACCTCAGACCAAATCCCCAGATGACCTCTCCCAGAGGGTTAAATAGCATGAGGGGCGGGGGGAGAACCAGATCCCCCAGGGCCCCATAGCATAAAGGCCAAGGGCTCGATCAACGTTCCAACAGCACCACCTTCTGCAATCAGCCGTACAAGCAGAAGTGGAACCACAGCCAAGCAGTGCCTCCTACCCTAAACCTCCAGAAGGATACCATGGCTAATGGTACTGAAATTCACTGAGAGGTTCAAGAGAATCCACAGGGTCTTACTCCCCATCCCTCTCTTGGCAGAGGCCATCCCACAGGGCGGCCAAGGCAGTTTCTGTCCCAAAACCATACTAAAACTCAACTGAAATGATTCTAGAAAAACAGTCTCATCCAGGAGTGACTGGAGGTGGCCAGTCACTTAGGAAGGGAATGTTAGTCACTGGCATAGGATTGTTGACATCCTCTGGGTCCAGACCACATTTCTCCACGAGCAATTATCACTTCCTTTAAAGAAACTGGGGCTTCAGTAACTGATGCACGAGTTGTCATATGAGTGCATATTTATGCATATGCTTACAAGCATTTATGTGAATGCATTTCATGGCAAACAAGTCTAATAGACCAATTAATGAATGATCATCATCATCATCATCATCATCATCATCATCACCACAAGCTGTATGTCCAAGCAATCAAAAAAAATATATTATATAGGTCAATTATATAGGGAAGCTCCAATTCAGATGTACAGAAGTCTTAATCATAGTCTCTTATAAAACATATGAACCAAGAATAGTCCAATACTGAATATACTTATTTCTTAGTTTAAGCATTCAAAACTTAATTTTACTGGACAACATCCAAAAACTTTTGAAACTTCACTTTGGCATGCCTAGAAATAACAGAAAAGGAACATGGATTAATGTCTTACCTTGCTTATTATTTGAATAATATCACCTTCTTTAAAACTAAGTTCATCCTCATTAGTACCTTCATAGGCAAATAAGGTCTTGCAATATTCCTTAGCTGAAAAAAGAAGTATAAATATTATGCGTGACCAGTGCACTCCTGTTGCATGAATGCCAGTGTTTAAAGCTCACCAGCAGGACATTGGGGAGGTGGATAGCAACAAAATAGCTAGTAAAATATGCTGAATTTACAGTAATTGAACCCAAATGTACTTTTAAAATCCAACATGTAATTGCCCAGAACAAGACCACTGTTTAACATTTAGCTGGCAACAATGTGTTGGTGGTTCCTCAGAACATCAGGGATGTGTCCACAAGACCAGTTAGATGGGCAAATAGCAGTGGGAGGGAGCAAGGATTGGTGAGCTGGAGTTGGCGGGGGCGGGGGGAGAGTCCACTGGTAGCAGAAGAGCAGCAAGTAAAATATAGTCAGCTGTGGCTTCTAATTCTGAGTCATAAAGAGAAAGAGAAGGATAGAGGAAGTGAGCTAAAAGGATAGGAAAGAGAACAAGGAGGATATACAAAGATGCAACGTGTGGATTTTATATACCGTATTTTTCGCTCTATAAGACCACAAGAAGCACCTAGTTTTTGGAGGAGGAAAACAAGACAAAAATTATTCTGAACCCCAGAAGCCAGAACAGCAAGAGGGATCGCTGCGCAGTGAAAGAAGTGATCCCTCTTGCTGTTCTGGCTTCTGGGATAGCTGCGCAGCCTGCATTCGCTCCCTAAGATGCACACACATTTCCCCTTACTTTTTAGGAGGGAAAAAGTGAGTCTTATAGAGCAAAAAATACGGTACCTACCATGTGCTTGCATACATTGTCTTGCAATATTCTCTTTCCTTGAAACCCTCATAAAGCAGAAATGCTGTGTTTGTGTGTGGGTATTTTTCTGTCACCCATAAGCTTCCCCCACCCCTGCCAAATTGGTATGGAGACCATGGCGTATGGGGCCCAAGAAGGTGGGCAGCTGCAGGGCTTTTTTTCAGTGGGAACTCACTGAAACTCAGTTCCGGCACCTCTCAGGTGGGCACCATTGTCATTCTAAGAGAACAAGGGAGTCCCAACACCTTTTTTTCTAGAAAAATAGCAGTGGGTGGCTGACAGATGGGGGATTAATATGGCAGCAGGAAAGCAGCGTCTTGAGGGAAGGGGTGACGGAAGAGGCAGAATGCTAAACTATAAGCCAAGAGAAGCCTCCCGCGATCAAGTGTGGCAGCTGGGAGAAAGCCTCCCGCAGAGCCTGGGGTTGGAGGGGCTACATTATCATGCTGGTAGTAAAGGGACAGAGAGGTAGGCGAACAGCCGGACAGGGAGCTATTCCTATTCATCCGTCAAATGCGTTTGAGAAAAACACTGGCTTGCTGAAGTTTTGCACAGCCTTAACAGCAAACCTTTCAATAATGGCTTCTATTTTAAAGATTTAACATGAAGATCACAAAACAATATGAAAATATAAAACAATACCTTTCTGTTTGCTTTCTGTTTCTGTTTTTGCTACCTCAGTTGCAATTTCTGTTTTCGTTGCACCAGGAAATTGGGTTACTTTTGGTCCAGATGGATGAGTAAATAATGGCTACACAAGAAATGTGAAGGTTAAAAATGGTCCCTAGGCAAGAGCCAAATATACTTGAATTTGCAATTAAAGCTCCTGCCCATTTGATCAACAAGGTGTAGAACAAACATTATAATGTAATACCTATGGCAAGAATTTTATTCTTGTTTGCAAAATTATTACTTAAGTTTAGGAACAGTAGCAATGTTTCTGACTTGGAAACAGTCACCTGCCAACTAAAATGCTACTACAGTGGTACCTCTAGTTGCGAACTTAATTTGTTCTGGGGGTCCGTTCTTAACCTGAAACTGTTCTTAACTAGAGACGTGCTTTCGCTAATGGGACCTATTGCTGCCGCTGTGCTACTGGCACATGATTTTTGTTCACATCCTGGGGCAAAGTTCTCAACTCGAGGTAACTCTTCCAGGTTAGCGGAGTTTATAATCTGAAGCGTTTGTAACCTGAGACGTTTGTAACTCGAAGTACCACTGTACAGGAATCAAAGCAGTGTTCCTTAAAGGTAATATGCAGACATTTGCACAATTTGTACCTGCTTTCTGTGTCAAGCTACCTGGATTTGCATTTATATTTCTATGGCTGCTAGTTTAAGAATTAATCCTCTCCAAATGGAGCACACGAATGTGCTTCCTCCAGCTTGGTCTGTGTTCTAATGGTGCACTCTCTATCCTTAAGAGCTGCCAAGGTCTATGATGAGGCTTCAGCATTCCCAGAGGGAACAGCAGCATTGGCGAGTGACAGGCGGCAGCACCAGAACCAAGGTAAGTGTCGCATATAGAGAATCATGCAGAACAGACAGCTCTCCATTCACTGTCAAATAGCAGAGCAGGAGAAACCTGTGGGATGATGAAACACCCACAGGGGAGAGAGCAAACCTCAACTATGTGAGGGGGTCTTCTCAAGGCAGCTTTGCACCTACACTTACCACATCAGAAATCATACATACAAAAACTGCTTTACTACCAAGGAATTCTGGGCATATGGAAAGACTGCACTTTCTCTTTCAAAAGTAAGCCTGGCAGGTTACTGACCAATATACTTCCCGAGGCGAATCTGCCAATTGTGACACGTGTATAGAAGAGAAACAACAGCTTCTAATGCGGCAAGTGCCCACCCAAAACTGCCTTGAGAAAAGCACAGCTACAGCAGGAACTGATTTTATCCAAACGTGTTTCAACAGGCACACTTAGAGGACCACAGACGCGACTCCCTACCCTGACTCTTACCTTGACTATCAGTGGACACAAGCGCGCCATTCAAAGGGGAGGCTGCTCTGCCACCTACAGAAGGGCATTTTTCATTTCATGTAATATCTGAGAACATTTGGCCGTGACTAGTTGATTGGCATCCCAACTTCATATTTTTTTAAACTGTCACATTTTCAAACTTCTCCCTGTAACGATCAAAGACTAGAAACTAAGGGTGTTCCTCTCCCAATGCAAAAAGTGGGATACTGTGCAATTTAACAATTCTGTGCCTGCCACTGCTCTACATAAAAGCCGCCAACAGTAACTGTTGCAGAATGTCGTCTGTGAAGCAGCAACTCTTCAATAGAATAAAAATCTTCAGCAAATAAGTTACAATGCTAATAGACGCTTAAGATGCTGAGTAGTAACTAATGTTGCAGTTTTGGAAAAGATGACATCACAAATTACACATGGAAAATAAAATACCTTATCTTGCTTCTTCTCTTCTGAATCATTACTGGGTGATCTTGTCTTAAGCTTCACAGAACCTTCTTTAAAAATATCTCCAAACCCAACTCCTCGGATTTTCTTTGGCTGTGCTATCAGTGCAGGCCCAGACTCAGTAATATTCCCTGGTGGGGTTACAGGTGAGAGCGGGTCAGGAAAAACAGGCTCTGTGTGGAAATGTGTGAAAATAGTTAACAAGCAATGTTAAGGAGGAAAATGTCTTAATACGTATGTGACAGCCTGCTTCTAGGACTTGTTTCAAGTTTTACTTTTTGTTTTAACTTGGTTTAAATTTTTGAACTAAAATAGAATTACAGTTGACAGTTGACACCTTCATACATTACAACAGCAAAAAAATCTTGCAGAAATTGTTACATATACCAAGCAACCATTTCCTCAGAAAATAGCAGACCTTTTTTCCTTTAGTCTATTAAAATACTGTTTTTATCCCTGACCCATTTTGCACGAGTGAAGATTGGAGCTGCTGCCCTCTTCTCCTACCATATAACTGTCTGCAAACACAAGACGCGCTACCTGCATCATCCGGGTCTTCATGGGTTTCTCCGTCATCTATGACCTCCAGCTCTTTTACAAAATTAGAAGGAAATAGTCCTAATTTGCCATTTAGTGTTCCGCTCCACCAGCCTTCTTCCACCTGTAGAAAGGATGATTACAAAGGGAAAATTAACTCACAGGTTTTGTAATATGACAATTAAAGACCGTCAGGAATTCAATATTGGATAATATGTATCCAATATTAGCACTGGGGGATCAAACAGAACACAGGTTGCTCACAGCGAGGGTTTCTCCTGCCTTGGTATTCAACAATGGCTTAATATCCTCCACTTGCTTAGGAAGGCAGCAAATAAAGTAGTCTAGCTTTCTGCACTGCAGATTCTGCCATCAGTTCTGCCCCACGACCAAGCGTGAGACAGAATGCAGAGAGGAGAGAAAAAGAGAAAGAGCCTTAGCAGGGCAAACCACACGCAGCCCTTGTGAATGGGCTAAAGCAGGGGTCAGCAAACTAAGGCCCTCTGGATTTGGCCCGCGGATGGTCCTGGAATCGCTGCTTGGATCAGCGTGATCGTTCAGGCTGCGCCATTTTTTTTCCGGGCGTCGGGGGAGCTGGGCTTTGATTGGTGCCACCCAATCTGAAGCCTGTCGCGCTGAGGCACGGCTCAGACTCACCACCCACCCGCCGGCCTCTCCGTCCACGCTGTGGGCATCGTGACGGGTGTTGCGGGGCTTTGGCTGGGGCTTGGCGCGCCTTCTGGCCCCGCGCCAGGGAAAGCTGGCCCGAAAAGGAGAGGCGCCGCCACTGTCGCCAAAGCGCAGACAGAGCAGCGGAGGAGGTAGGAAAGCAAGGGGAGGGACCGGGGGAGAGAGAGAAGCCCCCCTCCACCACAAGGTCTGAGGGATGGTGAACCGGCCCCCTCCTAAAAAAGCCCTGACCCCTGTGCTAAAGAGGAGCATCAAAGGCCCATTTCAAGTTGTTTTGTGCCAGCGCCTGAGAGCAGAATATAATCTTGGATACATCCATGCACCTAGCCAGAAGGAATCCTCATGGTAAGTAAGTAACAAATGTCCTGTTCTACATTTTAAGTCAGGTATCAAATAATCAGGCGCATCACAGTTACATTCTAATTATGGGGCAGTGGTTGGTCTAAGGGAGTGGGGGACAGAAAATGAACTTCCTCTGAGGCAAAGAAGCTGATTTTGTGGTGGCCAAGTTGAAATCAGAACACGGAGACAGAGATGTATAAAACTGCTCAGATGGGTCATCATGATCAACTCACCTGTAAAGGCAGTTCCAAAAGCTAAGGCTGAAGTTTTGTAAGCTTTTTAAAGTGATAGACTAGAGTGTCTCTTGCCCACCAACATGGTGCCGTCAAGTGTTGGATTCCAGCTTGCATCAGCCCCAGCCAGTATGGCCCAGGTATCCGGAATGATGGGAACTGGAGTTCAACCACAGCTGGTGGGCACCGCACTGGCAACTCCTACCTCAAAGTACTTAGAAGTGAGATAAGGCCTGAGGCCAAGGAATGGCTAGCAAGGGGAGCAGGAACTTGCTTCGTCCCGGCGGGAAAGAGTCTCCACTTTCACCCTTTCCAAGCTGGATACTGTAACTAACACACACCAAACCCGTCGCCTGTCCCTCCATTCACGTTACACCAGAATCGCTCCAGCAATACCTTGCCACAACTTGTATGCCAGGTGCTGGGGAATTTCAGGCCCACGACCAGACGTGGTCCTCCAGGCTGCTCTCTCTGGGCCTGGAGGCTCTCCCTAGGCCCTGGCAGGGTGCTTATCCTACTCTGAATGGGCCTTGAACCGGAGCAGGGGCGCGTTGGCATGGGGGGAGGATGCCCCTGGAGCTACTAGAAGCTGTATATTCCATGTAGAGGCCCCAAGCCTGTGCCTCTCCCTCTCTACTAAGATTAAACAAGGACCCTCCTTGCCGAACTTCAGGCACACAACTAAGGTTGTATTGTTCCAGCAGGAAGTTTAAGCTAGTGTTCATTTTCATGGTAAGTTTGTGTGTGTGATTTTCTGTGAATTGTTTTTATGCAAACTGCTTAGAAATATGAATAATCAAGCAGTATATAAATGTCTTAAATAAATAAAATAGATAAGCCTGAGGTTTTTTGCAGGGTTCCAATTTATCTTCCTGAGGATGTAGAAATGGAATCATCCAATCTGGTGATTTTAAACAGATTACAAGCGCTTCCTGCATTTTGCCAAGTACTTGGAATCTGTCACGATGGAACACTGAGCAAGTTATTTCCATTATTTTCCCATGACGTTTTATATCCCGCAATGCATTTCAGACTCTAGAACCCCCTTACCGCCTTCTCAGTCAAGTCTATTTGTTTTATAAAATAGGCAGCTTCACATCCTCCTCTTATCAAATCTACCTTCCTCATTATTTCACTATGTATGCTACATACTTCCAAAATACTCTAATCCTCTAATCCTCTAATTTCTAAGTATCTATTTCTAGGTTATCTTCAACTGTCGACATCTTCATTCTGACTATCCCATTTGGTTAATTTCCCAATGTTTATGTGGATAGTTCAGTTATTTCTTTCTGTGAGAAACAACTTTCATTTTATCCCCCATAATTCTGTAAAATGGCTCACCTCTTCATTAACGTCTATAATATCTCCAAGCTTGAGCTCCAACTCATCTTCATTCTGAGGAACATACTCAAAAAGAACTTTACATTGCCGCTTTTTTGATTCTGTTGAAAGTGAGAAACAAATTAACTCAAAGTGAAGTTTACCTTTAAAAACAATTTTATATGTTACATTTTGTAATTAAGTCATTAAGATATGCATTCTTATAGAATGATCAAGGACTCTCATGGCAGCTTAAAGCCTAACATATTGTTTATAGCACAGGCTTTGTGGTCTATATGTACACCATGGCTGAATGTTAAGTGAACAAGCAACAGCAAGCCTTATGGTTCCTGTCCTAAACTAACGGTGATTTGTCATTATGTCCCCAAAGGATGAATTGTTCTCTTTGCATGCAATGATAAACCAGTTAGTTAAAAGCAGGAAGCAGGTGCTTGTAAACTCTTCCTTGTAGCGACACCCTCTGGAAATTATCCTATATATATGCCTTCTTTCTGGTTGCCTAGAACAAGCAATTTTTGTGTGGATCAGTTTGAAATTCATTTGTGAATGCTGAAACGTAGCACAGGTGTTCATTTTAGTTTCATTACTCATTTCTAAACATGAAAAACTGTTGAGAATTGCAAGGGACTCTCAATTCAAGATGGTGGCTAGGAGACATCTTGAAATTGATGGGGCATTTAACAATGAAAGGAACACAGAACTCATTCAATCAATTGTGTCCTGACTTGCATTTGGAACCAAAATTAAACAGATCTGTAAAAGAAACTATACTTATCATTGCACTTGCTGAAGCTGCGTGTAAACAATGGTTCCTAACTGCAGCTATTCAAGTGCAAATACAGGAAGTGTTATGTGTTGGTTTATTAGCGGAACACATAAATATTTTCAGAAATGGGTGTCCTTAAAATCATTAAAGATGAGTTAGCAGACAGCAGTTTCAATAGAAATTGAGTAAATCCACATGAACAGGCAGATACTTGCAGCACATAGTATCTGGTTACAAGGCTCCACAATGTAGAGCATAATCCATGTATCTGTTGAAAATGGAATGAAACAAGTTCATGATCTTCTAAAAGTGTGCCTACAAACATGTGTGTTTGGGATCCCTCTAAGGATTTGCACAAACATACTGCCAAAGGGGAAATTTTCTACCCTCTTATTGCAAAGTTGTATGTCATTTGAAGATGCATTCATTCAGTGAGCCATATTTGTGCATCATCATTATCCTCTAGTCATGAGGCATACCTATTTAGGCTCTGGAGGAAGGCTTTTCAGAACAATGTCGAGAAATACCTCCTGATATCAGCACTAATACAGGCCAAATGCAGATATTTGAAGGGATATTTGTAGAGACATTTGGGAAACTTGCTGAAGATCTCTTAAGGACTATTCTCACGGCACCACACACACTTAAGAGCAGAAGGAGTGGCATGGAAGAGTTCTGCTAACGGTTTAATAGAAAACATGATGGAGGACTTCCGGGTTAGCGCCATCGGCAATGGTGGAGTTCCTCTGATCGGGAGGAACCCGCTCTGCAAAAATCGGGTCTTGCCGCTGCGGCGAAGGCGGAGACCCCTCAAAAATCCCAGGCGGATGAAGCCTGGGAACGTGGGATTCGGCTGACACCAGGAGCGCCTCCCCTACTCGCAGGGAACCCCTTTTTCGGGGCTCCGTAACGATGTGGGGTGAGCAGCGAGGTGTTTTGAATCGACTGCTACTTTTGTGGAGTGAAGCCGCATAGCCGTTGCCGGAGAGCGCTGACTTTGTCCTGTGGACAATTGGACTCAAAAACAAGTACCCGTGAGTAGAAACGGAAAAATTGGATCAAGAAACTTGTTAATTTGGCACCGAAGCAGGAAGGTTCAAAACAGGAAGTCCACCTTCCGCTTTTTGTAAATAGACTGAAGCAAAACCTTGTAAGCTAATAGCCTGGAAAGTCGCTTATAAAGGTTGAAATTTCCTTCATTTACAATCACTAAACCCCCCTTGGAAGCAGGAGAAAAGGGGGGGAATTTTGACTGTTCAACCCTGCAGGAGGGAGTGAAGAAAGATAAGTTTCCATCGTCTCAAACCTGGGAACGGGGTGTCAGAGACAGAAATTGTTGGAGACGTTCATTGACTGTGAATGGAGCATTTTGACATAGTTAGAGAGAGAAACAATCTGATTCCAATGTTGCCTTTTGCATTTTAAAGAAACAAAGTATTTGAAAAACGAAAGTAATTCTTCTTTGTTGGACTCGCTTTAAAAAGATGGATACAAATAAAAATTGCCTCCTCTAGAGGGAGTTTGTTAAATTGTTGCTGCAGTCTGCTTGGGAACTCTACAGCTCTAAGATTAAGATCGTGGGATCAGTCTTTTGACCTTGGATAATAATGTGTCGGGAGGAAGCTTTGATGCTTGCTCTCTGTAAGACAAATGCTCTGCTGGAGCAGTTGCATGAGAAGGTAGATTTGATGAACAAAAAACTGGATTTGATGACGGCTGTAGGGCAGGAACTAACTCAGGAACCTGTCTTAACTGGGCAAGTACAAGTGCAGAAGATAATGGACGAGGTTGCGGTTGCACCTCAAGCATTACAAATGGAGAGATCTGAGGCCCTGCAGGCGCATAAGCTACTGTCTTTGAAGATTGAATTTGGAATGGGCCAGGAGAAGTCTGGAGAGGAGGAGGCTCTTAATTTCGGAGGGACTTTGAAACATGTTGTTAAATACTTTTTGGATTATTCTGACGACTGTGGGGAGTGGGACTCTGGGGAATGGGCTGGTCGGATGAGCGGAGATAATTTTGGTTTGGAATCCCCCAGAGACCTACTCTCCAATGAGAAAAGAAAGAAACCAGGAAAGAGACCAACAAAAGACAAGAAAAAGTGCAAGTATAAACAAGATGAAGAAGATCTGCAGAAGGGGCATGGAAGAGACTTAAGAGCCTCGGACATAAGATTACCAGGTTGATGAACTAGATGGAATGGACAGTAAGGTCTGACATAACCCGAGACCAGGAAGAAGGGACGTTGGATGGAGATTGGAAAAAAGTTTATAAAGAAAATTTGTTATATTGGGAATTAGTGTAAATTAATGAATATTGGGGAAAATGTTGGAATGAAACTATCTGGCTTTAGTAGAAATGATACAAGGAGTTATGTATAAATAAGTTTTAAGTTTTAAGCTTTAAGGTATTTTATGGTAAGATAAGGTTAAATAAATTGAGGTAAATTGAATAACAGAATATGTGAAAGATGGTAAGGATTTGTTGAGTTAAGTAATAGGTTAGACGGTTAAGATAAATTGTTTAATAAAAAGTTAGAAAGATGGAAAGAATTTGCTGAAACAACTAATTAAGCTAGAATACAAAAAGGGAGGTGTGAGGAGGTCAATGAAACAAGCAAATGAAAGGTAAAGATAGGCAAAAAGGGATTTTTTTCTCCTTTTTGTTGTGATGATGTATTGGCTTTTATATGTATTTTTTCTTCCCCCCCCCTTTTTTCCCTTTTATGTATTGTGGTGTTGCTTTTTCTTTTTTTTTTCTTTTTTCTCTTTCTCTTTTTTTCTGTAATCTTGAAACTATTAATAAATATTATTTTTAAAAAAAAATAGAAAACATGATGGAAAAAGCAGATACCCTTGCTGAGTGCTGCCAAGCAGATGGAAAATGACTGGAGTCTAGAATGTAAGAAGAGACTGCTGTATCAGGCTAGGAGCCCATTTACCAGGATCCTGTTAATGATTATCTAACTACCAGCACGTACAAAAGGATTTTCCTGTAGTAACTGTACATTCTAACAGCAGTGGGGCATGGCTGTTAAAATTTGTGATCAGATTTCAACTTCTTCCACCAGCTGAATTCAAAAAATAAATGTAGAAAACATGTCAACGTGTGAATAAGAAAAGTATGACAGTATTTGAATTATAATGGTTTGAGAGGGCAGTATAATACCTGCCAATGGAGTGACAATGTTATCATATATTAAACAGATATCCTTGCATTATTATTTTTTCTGAAATAATTTAGGAAAACAACCTGCAAGACCTATTTGCACATGATCTGAGAGTACCCCAGTGATATCACCACTTAACAAGAGATTTATCCAGCTATCAAGGAAATGATTGCATACTCCTCTTGAAGCTTTTAGACTGGGAAGTGGGCAGGAATCCTCCTGCTGGAAGCCCGTAAGTGCTCATGCGCTGAACAAGGTTGGCAACATTTCCATGCCTTTCCTTCTTGACTGGCAAATCATCATTCTGAGAGTCCGTCTCTTTCTTAACTTCCTAGTAAAAATAAGAACAGGGGGGCAGTGGGGTGAGAAGAGAGATTGACTACAGGAACCTAAAATATTCATAACAAGCTATAGCCCTGCACTGAAGGAAGGGAAGCCTCAGATAGCTTGCTCCCTCCTCCATGGAACAGCCCTGTAGATATCTGAAGATGTCTCTCATATCTCCTCTCAGCCTCCTCTTTTCCAGGCCAACATACCCGGCTCCTTCAACCATTCCTCATAATGTACCAGAAAAGGGTCATTCCTGGTCCAACCCATTTATTTAAACCTCTATATAAACTCAGAGTTATCTAAGATTTGCTTTGCCATAACAAATATAGGAGAGATTTGATTTGAAAACACTTTAAAGGACTGACAAAGGCAAAACCACATTTAAGAACTTCTGCACTGACGATAAAAGTAGAGAAGTAAAGTTTTTCCTTACAGCAACTGTCACATTTGGCGCAAGAGTTAAGGAAATAACCAACAACCAGAGTCTATTTGTATTTTCACTTTAGAAGACAGCACCAAAGCAAAATTGTACCAAAAAACCCAGTGCAAGCTTCCTGAACAAAGCAGGAAGACTGGGAGGAGCTCCACTCCCCAGTATGTAAATTCAGATGAGCTGCATCTTCATGAGTTCACGAAAAAAATTATTAACAACTTGCCAAAAAACTAAAAGCAGCATCTGAATCCAAGCATAATAAAATTGAACTAAACTAGGCAGTTATGTAAACCTAGGAAACTTCACATAATTTACAGACATTACATCAGACTAGGTCATGAAATTAAACATTCAGCTTAATTGTTTTTAAAAAATCAGAGTACAATAACAGTTTAACCAGGTTCAACCCACTACTCACAAAAGGTTGTGATTCTCATACTATATCACTGCTTTTAACAAGGGAAAAATGAACTTACTGGTTCTAAAGACATATTTGCTTGAACACACCCAGGTATGTCTGTGCGTATTGTGTATTTTGAACCAAGTTTCAAGCCAAGTTCTTGCTCTGGCCAAAGTTCAAGTATCAACTAGCAAGCTTCCTGGTTCATACGATGTTTGTAGCAGCTGCTGCTGCTGCTGCTGCACAAGGAGATCACCAACCTTTTCTCCAGCAGTGAACTTGAGCTCCAATCACAGCTCATGAGCACAAACAATTAAAAATTAAGAAGTTTTAAAATAAGTAAATAAAAAGCTCTTTCATTTGCCTAAGTGCCTTGAACAGATAATCAAAGTAACAGTTCAGTCTGCAATATTAATATCAGAAATATTTATGCAAAAGATTCATTTACTTGATAAACTGCTTCACAAAGTCAAAATAAATATTTTTAAGAGTACTAGCAGAAAGAACAAATGGTGGGGTGTTCATGACCTATTTACTGGAAAGATAAAGGTTGCAAGTTGAATCCAATGCTGTTCCTGCGTGAGCAGAAAAGGTCTCCATTCGCTCAACAGGACTTCTTCTCACAGCCCCCAAAGTCTGCTCTGGAGGCTGGACTGGGTCTTCCAGGCCTACAGTAGCTTCTGGATTACCTGAGGGACCACAGGGATGTTGCTGGAATGGGGGGGGGGCAGAAATAGGAATATAATCCATAGTTTACAAAGAATGACGTTATGCAGACAGAAACATACTCTGTGTTGCTGCCTGATAGTGGAAGGAGTACAGGCCAGTAATCTTGCCCTGGGTCTTGGGTTAGAAGTGGGTTTTTTTGGGGGGGGGTTGTTGCTGTTTTGCAGTTATTTTTTTGTATCCGTATTTTAGATCTTATTATGATTTGTGTGGAAATGGTTCAATTTGGCTGTGTACTTTTTGATGCTTTATTTTAATGGTGACTTTTGTTGTGTTTGTAATTTTTTATGTTGTAAGCCTTCTAGAGCATGGGAAGACAGCTTACAAATACCTAAAATGATGTATGTATGCTGTACGTAATCTTGGCAGTGATTGAGAAATCAGAATAGGTACTGTACTGCTCTTCAGATGTTCACCTTGTGAGTAAAAAGTGGCAGTTTTACAGGGCCGAACTCCCAGCAGTCCAAAAGCTGCTTTCTCCAGAAGTACTCACGATAAAACAATGTGTACAGCGGGTGGCACTCAGGAAATTCCAAGGTGAAACTCCTGCTTATGTGAACCTTCTTGCTGCAGGAGGAAGCAGGGCAATAAGCGTAATCTGAAAATGCTGGTGGGGGGGCAGGGGGACTAGTCAGTTTCAATCTGGAAATGAATTGCTGGGGTGGGGGAGGGGAACATGCTAGGGCTTCAAGTTGGCTTGTTTCTAACACCCAGTTAGAACTGGATTGATGTTCTAATGGTCAGTCAGTGAAAGGCAGTTTTATAGGGTACGCTTTAGCCTCTCTGAAATGCTCTTCCTTTGCAAACTGTAGCTCTGTGGCAGAACAGCTGCTTTGAGTGCAGAAGGTTAAACCCTCAGCATCTCCAGGAAGGGCTAGATCTTAAGATGCTCTGTCTTGTGCTGCAGACTTGAGTTCAAAAAGCAGACAACACACATTCAGTAAATCTCACTCACGGTCACAAGTGGGCAGGACCAAAACCCAGAATGGTTTTGTTATCTATTTCAAGATATAAGAATATTTCTTCCACTTACACTCTTCTCTCCATACCAAATACGCCATCAGATACACAAAATCAAACTTCAGAATGCACAGGTAGGGCATCCCCCCCCACCCCGCAAAAACCCTCTTTTTGTCGTAATTTCCAGTCTGCTCTCCCCACCCCCATGCTCTGCCTGCACGCCTAAAAAGCAAAATGATGCAGCAGAATTCAAATAAAGGGGGGAAACCATTATTCTTCCTGGCAAGCCAACAAAAATATAATTATGAGAAGAAATGAAGGAAAATGCAAGAAAAGAGGCCCTTGCACTCTTGAAAAGCAAGATCACCATGAGAAGCCCCTTCAATAATCAACCAGCTCATGAAAGCCTTACAGGTAAAACTTGCCAGCCACAAGGTGTCTCCCCCTGAAAGACTGTCCTCAGTTGCGACCTGCAAAGTTCTGGATTTAAGGGGAGGTTTCGCCAAGAGAGAAGCAATCCATTTAACCACATTCACAGCTTGTTTACTTATGCAAATCATACCACAATGGAAAGGGTCCCTCCTCAGCACATCAAAAGGCTGCCTGGGAATTTCGAACACTGCCCATCTGCTGATGCTAAGGGAGAGTGACCCTGCTGAGTTGAAGCACTGCCAAAGCGGGGATCCAGTGCTAAGCAGGATCACTCTCCCTTCAGTCAGTGCAAAGGGGGAGTGAGGCTGCTTGGCACTGGGCTCAGGCGCACAATCAGCTGGTGCAAAAGAGAGGGATGCCCCTTGAAACTGGGTCCCAGCTTTGTGCAGCGCTTCAAAGGCTCCTGACAAACAGCTGGTTGCCAGGCACTTTGGGAGCCGCACAAAGCAGGTTTTGGGCAAGCCCCATCCTCACCTGTATGATGCCAGGTGTAGGGCAGGTAGGTGTGGCTTGCCTGAAATGGCCTCAGCGGACAAACGTGGAGAAGCCTGAAGGGGCACAAGGGGCATGCGAGCTGAAGGTTCCTCACCCCTGAGCTAAACAAAGCTTTTGGGAGAACAAAGAAAGCCCACTGCTGCTAAGTTCATTATTTAACATCACCAATCAGAAGGTTGGCGGTTCGAATCCCCGCGACGGGGTGAGCTCCCGTTGCTCGGTCCCAGCTCCTGCCAACCTAGCAGTTTGAAAGCACGTCAAAGTGCAAGTAGATAAATAGGTACCGCTCCGGCGGGAAGGTAAACGGCGTTTCCGTGTGCTGCTCTGGTTCGCCAGAAGTGGCTTAGTCATGCTGGCCACATGACCCAGAAGCTGTCTGCAGAGAAACGCCGGCTCCCTTGGCCAATAAAGCGAGATGAGCACCGCAGCCCCAGAGTCGATCACGACTGGACCTAATGGTCAGGGGTCCCTTTACCTTTACACCTGGCAGCTGAGGTAACTTACACTCTCATTCTGACAGGCCAACAACAGCTCTAGAAATTCAAGTTTTAAAATACAGTAGTACCAAATGTGAAAGCACGATTTTTTAAAGTGTAGGTTAAGGTATCTGTACTGTAGAATTGTTGAGGGTATTCTGAAGTCCATTCCCCTTCTGAATCCATTACATTCCTAATACTTGGCAGGCAATTTGTTTCAGTGCAACAACATCAACAGCATTTCATTACTCAGAATAGGACATCAAGCATGTCATCCTGCTGTTGAGAAATTGTGCCCTTCAGCCCTGATGAAAAATATTCTACATAAATCCTGAAAATGTGGAAGTTTGGCTTTGTTTCCTTATTTCGAATCCTTTAGCTTAGGGATGGAGAAACATCAGCCCATGGGCCTGATGAGGCCCCACCAGCAGTCCCAATCTGGCTTCCAGTTTTGTTTCCCCAAACTATACCACCTCCCCCATCATACTAGTGTAGAATCAGGAACCTTAAATTGAGCTCCTGTTTGTGCTGGGACGCAGGTGGCGCTGTGGGTTAAAGCCTCAGCACCTAGGACTTGCCGATCGAAAGGTCGGCGGTTCGAATCCCTGCGGCGGGGTGCGCTCCTGTCGTTCGGTCCCAGCGCCTGCCAACCTAGCAGTTCGAAAGCACCTTCGGGTGCAAGTAGATAAATAGGGACCGCTTACTAGCGGGAAGGTAAACGGTGTTCCGTGTGCTGCGCTGGCCTGCCAGAGCAGTGATGCCACGCTGGCCATGTGACCCGGAAGTGTCTGCGGACAGCACTGGCTCCCGGCCTATAGAGTGAGATGAGCGCACAACCCTAGAGTCTGGCAAGACTGGCCCATACGGGCAGGGGTACCTTTACCCTTACCTTTTTTGTGCTTGGGTAAAAGAGGCTTGCTCTTACTGCCCATCAGCTGACTGGCAGTAAAAGGGAGCTGGTTGACATCAGCTGTGCAATCCTTGAAGGGGCTTGCATAATATGGAGCAGGGCCCTTTGCAAGCCTCTTGCTCCTTGCAAAGAGCCCTGCTCAGCTCTTTGAAGCACTAACAATCAGCTGGCAGGTGGTGCTTCCAAGCACCCAGCAAGGCTCTTTGCATGGTGCTTTGAAGTCCCAGCAATTGTCAGGACCCGCCAAAAGGTCCCATCATCTGACATCATGGCCATGTCAAGTGACTGGCTGCCCACCTGCTCATCTGGCCCACAAGGGGTAGAAGAGATCAGGATCTGGCCACCTGGCCAGATCCAATTCTCCAATTCTGTTTTAACAGCTCTTTTCACCACACTCAAGTCATGATATCCAGGGGATCAGAATCTTCTCCATCCCATTTCACCACCAGCTGTTTCTCCTTTTAAATTTATATTATATTATGAGATTTCAAGGAGTCATTATGTTAGGCAAAATAACAAGTAACTCACACAATCCAAATTGCAGAATGTCAGGTGGTGGTTGCAAACAACAAAGCAAGTAAATATTCAAGAAGGATGAAAACTTCTATACAGTGCAGAAGAATCTCTGCATTGATTGAGAAATATCTTGACCACAGATATTCATTTTTTATAAACTCTTTGAACTTTAGCTCCAAAACCACTCTGTACAAGCTTCTGTGCAGAGAGAAGACCCATTCAAATGGAGCAGTGAGGGAGACAAGACCCAAACCCATTTCTGGACCAAAAGCTACTAGTGAGGTACCAAACATAAATGACTCTGTACACTATCCATTTTCCATCCAACTGCATCTAGTACACCATCTTGAAGTCATTATATTGGTACAAGCTAAATCAGACATAAAGGCTGAGAAGGGGGTAACTAGATGCAGGGATACAATTTTCATCAGTCACCCGTAAAGTCAAGTTTGGCCCACTGTGATGCAATATGCAAGAACCTAGTAACTTCTTCCTTGCATATTTGTTATGTCAGTTGCAGAGAGGAATACAACTGGCATTAAAGAATAGAATGGGTTCCAATTCAGAGCTTTTGCAAGTTGCAACCTTAAGAAGAAAATGCCATAAAATATAAATAGGGAAAGTCGAATAGCAAGCTGCAATACGAAAGAAAACAAATCACAGCCTTAAATTTACAACTCTTCAGAATATTCCCAGCCAATTTCTAGAACCAATCAAGGTCTTTCTTCCTACCAAGGTTTTCGCACACCACTCTAGAATTTCAGCTGTATCATTATTGAAATAGTTCTGATCTCCAAGCTTAATGTCAAGTAGTACAGGTATGATTTAATGTTTGAAGCTGCACAACTGTTATAGCAAAGAATTGCGATAAACTTGCCTTAACAAAGTTGTCAGGAAACATGCCTCTTCGCCCACTGAGCTCTCCCTGAAGCCATCCTTCTTCTTCTAGTTTTGCCACATTCCTTATGATTTCTCCAACTCGAATAGTTAGCTCGTCATCATGCACTGCATCATAGTCATACTCCACAACATACTCAACTAGGAGGGAGAAGAGAAGAGTCAATAATAATAATAATAATAATAATAATAATAATAATTTATTTATAGCCCACCCATCAGGCTGGGGTTCCCCAGCCACGCTGGGCAGCTCCCAACAGAATATTAAACAGAATAAAACTTCAAACATTAAAAAACTTCCCTAAACAGGGCTGCCTTCAGGTGTCTTCTAAAAGTCAGATAGTTGTTTATTTCCTTGACATCTGGTGGGAGGGTGTTCCACAGGGCAGGCGCCACTACCGAGAAGGCCCTCTGCCTGGTTCCCTGTAACCTCACTTCTCGCAGCCTTCAGAACTGGACCTCAGTGTCCGGGCTGAACGATGGCGGTGGAGACGCTCCTTCAGATATACTGGACTGAGGCCGTTTAGGGCTTTAAAGGTCAGCACCAACACTTTGAATTGTTGCTCGGAAACGTACTGTATGTAATTCAGGCACATGGAAATACAAGCCCTACTTGTGTGTGTGTTTACAAACTGCTTTAATACTCATAACACTCAAAAACCAAAGAAGAGCAACACACCAATGCTGTAAGTTACAAGAAAGAAGCTCAAATGAGACGGTAAGTAAGTTGATATTCAAGATTGCGAAGTGTGTGGCTTTGCCTACATCTCTCCATGCAAGGGTTTGATTTCCAGCCCACACCATTCCTGAACCTGCCTTTGCCCTTCCAATCTTTATCCCTTATAGGCTCCACGGCCCATCAAGGCTCCTGCCACCTGAGGAAGCCACCCTGGCACCCTGTGTTAGCGCTGAACCTGTGCAGACCCGAGGTTTCCTCAGATGAGGAGCTGGGCCCTCCAGCAGATATCCACCATGGCCAAAGTCTTCATTCCAAGGAGCCATCAGATATGTCTATCTGATGAGGAGAAGAGGAGACTAAGAGCCAAGCAAGAACTTCAAAGCCGCTGGCGAAGTGTCCACCAGCTGTGCATGGGGCTCCTCAGGAGTACGGGAAAGCACACAGTAACACTTGCTTGGATCAGAACCCAACTGAGAGCCCCAGTTCCTATAGAAGCTCCCAGACTGAAGCAATTGCTCTTATCAAAGCTTCAGTCTTCCTAACCTGGGAAAACAGACACCCAAATAAGCAGACCAGAGGTTTTTTTAGCACTGGCAGGCAAGTCAATACAAAACAAAATAAATCACATATCAACTGATTAACGGCTAACAATGCCCCCCCCCCAAAAAAAACCCACACACATCACTGACGCAGGACTGCTTAGTAAACACTGGACAATGGGAATAGGAATCCAACTTGCTCCGGAAGGAGACGGAATAAGTAACATTCCTGTTCATCCAAGGCAGGGCGCTAGCCCTCCAGCAGGCCCTCAGGCCAATAAAGCAGCAAAAAGAAAGAAAAAAAGGGGGAGAGATAGAATAAAGTGCACTCAAGAAAGAAAAGAACCAAACAAAAGAAAAGAGAAAGCAAAAGAGGTAAAGGACAGGGCAGTAAAAGGGAGGATGAGCTCTCTGGATGAGGAAATAACTTGACAATAGTGCTCTTGTGGTGGCCAGAAGGGAACTTAAGGGGAAGATAGTAATTCCTGCCCCTTGAGTCTTGTACACTCTCATGGGGCAGGAGGCCTCTTGTACCCAGAGGTTTGTAGCTCCCTTCCAAATATTGCTTCCTTCTGATGTGGCCACACAAAGGCCACAATGAAGAATCTAGGTGACAATCCTGTGCATAATCACATAGAAGTACCATATATACTCGAGTATAAGCCAACCTTTTCAGCAGATTTTTTATGCTGAAAAGGTCCCCCTCGGTTTATACTCGAGTGAGGCGGGCGGCGGCAGGACGAGCGGCCCAAAAGGAGCCGTTTCAGGCTGCTTGTTCTTCCTGCCGCCGCCGCCACCAGGTCTGTGGTGTGGTGAACCAGCTTGTACTCGAGTCAATAAGTTTTCCCAGTTTTTTGTGCTAAAATTAAGTGCCTTGGCTTATATTCGGGTTGGCTTATACTCGAGTATATATGGTAATCTTTATTTACATAGGATTAGGGTGCAAGTCCAGAAGACAGGTTTTGTTGTTATTTTAGTTTGCTTGGTTTTTTAAAGTCACAGATTTAGACCTGAAGGTTAAAAGCAAGTCAATAATCAAGAGTTAATTTTAGCCATTTTTGTGTGTCTGCTGTTTTTCCTCCTCTCTGGCTATAAATAGGCTGATATAGCTTCACCCACACTACCGCAAGCATTTTCTACACATGCCAGCATTTCCCATTTCAGCAACAGGCTGTTTTTTTTAAAAGAATAAAACGGGGAAAAAGGCTTCTGGCTAAACAGTTCAAGCACAGCAATTTACATTTCAGTAACTTTTGGAGATAAAAATATGAATTATTAATAGTGGTCAAAAGTTTTTATTTCATTCTATGCACAAGGGAAATAAGGATCACGTTCTGCATTATTTTATTAATATTATTGCCTAATACAAGTTTGTCATGGCTTTTGCCTAGAACAATAAACTTATGAGCTGAACTTGGCCAGCTGCTTTGCCACTACTACACACACACCCCCCCCGGCTGCTACTTGCTTATTTCTCTCTCCAACTTACGAAGTAACATTCAACCACTTTAGACTAGTGGAAAAGCTTTAGAGATGTTACACATTATGTATACGTATAACACATACATACACACATACTACATTTTAAACTTTACTTTGTGCCCAAATGATTATAAAGGTAAAGGTAAAGGTAAAGGTAAAGGTACCCCTGCCCGTACGGGCCAGTCGTGTCCGACTCTGGGGTTCCGCGCCCATCTCACTTAAGAGGCCGGGGGCCATTGCTGTCCGGAGACACTTCCGGGTCACGTGGCCAGCGTGACGAAGCTGCTCTGGCGAGCCTGCACCATCGCAGCACACGGAAACGCCATTTACCTTCCCGCTATAAAGCGGTCCCTATTTATCTACTTGAGGGGACGCGGGTGGCACTGTGGGTAAAAGCCTCAGTGCCTAGAACTTGCCGATCGAAAGGTCGGCGGTTCGAATCCCCGCAGGCGGGGTGCGCTCCCGTTGCTCGGTCCCAGCGCCTGCCAACCTAGCAGTTCGAAAGCACCCCCGGGTACAAGTAGATAAATAGGGACCGCTTTACTGGCGGGAAGGTAAACAGCGTTTCCGTGTGCTGCGCTGGCTCGCCAGATGCAGCTTGTCACGCTGGCCACGTGACCCGGAAGTGTCTCCGGACAGCGCTGGCCCCCGGCCTCTTAAGTGAGATGGGCGCACAACCCTAGAGTCTGGCAAGACTGGCCCGTACGGGCAGGGGTACCTTTACCTTTATTTATCTACTTGCACTTAGGGGTGCTTTCGAACTGCTAGGTTGGCAGGCGCTGGGACTGAGCAACGGGAGCGCACCCTGCCGCGGGGATTCGAACCGCCGACCATACGATCGGCAAGTCCTAGGCACTGAGGTTTTACCCACAGCACCACCCGCGTCCCACAAAATGATTATAAAAGGATGACTTTAAATTAGGATAATCAAAGGAAACTTTTACTCAATTTTGCACAAGACTATTGTGGAGCAGATGAGATAAGTATGTTTTAAAGATGTTTCCTACTCATTACATATTTACAGAATGTTAGAAGCATTCTGGTGTGTCTAGGCATGTGACTATAGCAAAACATACTTTGTAACACACAGGAAATTCCTTCCCCACCTCATCCCAGTACAGTGGTACCTCGGGTTACGTATGTTTGAGGTTACATACGCTTCAGGTTACAGACTCCACTAACCCAGAAATAGTACCTCAGGTTAAGAACTTTGCTTCAGGATGAGAACAGAAATCGTGCGGTGGCAGCAGGAGGCCCCATTAGCTAAAGTGGTGCTTGAGGTTAAGAACAGACCTCCGGAACAAATTAAGTACTTAACCCGAGGTACCACTGTATCACAGCAGAAATCAGTGCACATTTGGGTAGGTAGGCTGTCCTAAACATCTGTTTGGTAGAGAAGATACAAGCATTTATAATATGCAAGAATTTCTGAATCAGAACTTCTAGCCTAGTTCACCTGTCACACTAAATCAAGGGTGGTTAACCTTTTTTGGCCTCTCAGGCAGAAGGAAGTGAGGGCTGAACAGTCACATGTGATTCAGGGACTTGGGAAAAAAGCTTCCCAAGTCCTTCTACCAAGCTATACGGGATGAAGAAAGCAGAACATGGAAGCCTGAGGCTCTTGTCATCTTCCTCCTCCTCCTCCTCATCTTGTTAAACCAGGGTTTAGCAAGACATGCAAATCAGGTCTTTTCATCTTTGAAAACTGCCCAGTTAGCAGGAAACAAAGGTAATTAAAATTATGCAAGAGGTAACGGACAACAAATTTACCTCTGAACAAAGAGAAAGGTGTAACTTGTAGACAGACAAACTTCAAAGAAAAACTTTTCCTTCTTACTAAGAAGTTAGGCACACAGTGCTTCTTTTGCTACACTATGTGATCACTGACAGCATATGCTGGAGTCTTGGGCTTTGCTTCAGTACTTTCCAATTTAGAGGTGGTCAAATGCAGAGCAAAGCCCATCAGCAACAACATCCTCTTCCCAAGGAAGAAAAATAATCAAGTTTTATCAAGCTACATTACAATACACAACATACACTGTATATTATTTCCATATAAAAGAAGCCAGAATCACTGTTGAGCCACGTTTAAAGCAAGTTTAAAGAGTAAAAACAAGCCACTGGGCACTTCCTCCAGTTATTACATGGCATTTCTTACGTGGATCTTATTATTTTCAATAACTATATACAGTTGCTTTTTGAAATGTAAAAAGGTAAAGGTACCCCTGCCCGTACGGGCCAGTCTTGACAGACTCTAGGGTTGTGCGCCCATCTCACTCAAGAGGCCGGGGGCCAGCGCTGTCCGGAGACACTTCCGGGTCACGTGGCCAGCGTGACAAGCTGCATCTGGCGAGCCAGCGCAGCACACGGAAACGCCGTTTACCTTCCCGCTAGTAAGCGGTCCCTATTTATCTACTTGCACCCGGGGGTGCTTTCGAACTGCTAGGTTGGCAGGCGCTGGGACCGAGCAACGGGAGCGCACCCCGCCGCAGGGATTCGAACCGCCGACCTTCTGATCGGCAAGCCCTAGGCGCTGAGGCTTTTACCCACAGCGCCACCCGCGTCCCTTTTTGAAATGTAGCCTTCTGTAACTTCCACTGCCACCTCCCAAATGTCTTCTCCAAAGAACTGCATGTCATTAGTTTCTCATTAAATTTTTCTACTCTCTGTGGCTCAATGAATTCTTTCCTAGCTAGCCTCCAACGCTACTCTGTCCACAGGTGTTCTTCTTTCACATGAATATCCTCTCCCTTTTACAATTTTGAAAACATGCATCATTTTGCAAGCGTGCTGTTCCTCAATATGTTCAGGGGGATTCAGGCTTTGCTGGTATCTTTTTGTGGGTTTATTTCCAAAACCATCAAGACATTCAACAAACACAAACATTTGTTTGGAATTAGGTTCCTCTGGATAAGCAATTATTGACTTCTAAATCGTACACAGGATCAGGTTACATGAAATTTCCCAACTGTCCCTTGTAATTCCAATTTAATCTTAAAGGGAACTGTTGAGAGACAGTGGCCCTTATACTCGACAGAGAAAACCAAACCATCCTTTAACACTCCCCCACAGGCTGCAGCAACTTTGCCTGAAACTTTCATCGGAAAGCAAAGCGTGGGGTCAGGAGATTCTTCAAGCCTGACAACAAGAGGCCTTTTGCACAGCAACGCGGCGCCAGAATCGGGCTCGGAAGAAGTACCGGTACCTGGCAGGAGGGCCGGGAAGCAGCACGGGAGGCGCCAGCGGCTTTCCCGGCCCCGAGCAATGGGCGCCCATCTCTGGGATGAAGGATGAAGCCTTTTGCCTCCTTCCAAAATGGAGGAGGAGGAGGAGGAGGAGAGGCTGCAAAGGGACCGCCGAGCCCGGCCACTCGCTTCCCGCTGCGGAGGAAGCCCCTCCCGCTTCCCAGGTGGGGCGACCCCTCCGGCTCGGAAGGCGGGGGGGGGGCTGGCTGTGAAGCCCCTTTGGCGGCAGCAGCGGCAACCGCAGGAGGGGAGCCCTGCCCCCCCCCATTATACGCTGCCCCCTCTCTCACGCCGCCAGTCCCTGGTGAGGAAGGGGAGGCGGAGAGGGGGGGGGAGCAGGACCCGCCATTTCCATGAGGCGCCCCCTCCCTCCCCCCCCCCCGCCGCCTCAGGGACGCCCCTTACCCATGCTGCGCGGACCCGGCTGGGCGGAGGCAGCGCGCCGCGCCGCTGGGAGCCCCTCGCCCGGTGCCCGACAGCGCTCAGGCCGGACGCGGCGGGTCGCGAGGCGAGATTGGCCGCCGCCAGGGAGGGAAGCCCGGCAGGCCCCGCCGCCGCCGCCTCCGCCCTCCTGGGCGCCGCCTCCTCGCCCGCCTGCGCCGCCCCCGACCGCCGGGCCAGGCCGCCAGGAGACGGGCCGGGAGGGGGCTCGGGGCGGGGGCCGCCAGGCCGAGGGAGGGGGAACCGCACCGCGAAAGGGAGACGACGGCGCGGACCCCCCCCCGCCCCGCCCCGCCCCGCCGAGAGGCCCCAGGTCTTCCTTGGCAGGGGCGCCAGCGAAGTCGGCAAATGGCTCCTCCTTTTTGCTCTTCACGCAGTAGCTTATTAAAGGCACATTGAAATATACAGCATAGATTAGAAATTATGCAAAGACTGGAAGTGTTACTTCATATGAAGTGTTTGAACTTGGAGACAATAAATAAACTAATACAGTAGTTTGTGAGGGATAAATGATTCCAAGCTATTCATATTAACTTTCTCATCAGGGGGTAAAAAATGCAGCTGTCTCCACAGCAAGACAAGGGGAAGGAAAGTCCCCCTCGATAATTTTGCTTCGAGGATTGCTCAAAACCTCTCTAATATTAAAAATACACAAGCCCAGGCTTTACAAAGTCCATTGAAAAGCAGAAGTGGATGTGCTGGGTTCCCCTCCCAAAATATCTGGGCAGAAAACATGACCCACCAAAGGGGGGGGGATCAAAGGTGTCAAATCAAGCAATCCAGGTTATTTTCCCGTAGGAAGGTGGGTGCCTCACGTTTCCAGGCCTTGTGGTGTACAAAATAAATGGATGCCAAACCACACAATGCCTTTAAGGTGTTGATTTACCTCTTAGTAGTCCAGAAATTATTGGTTAACTCCTCCAGAAGGCCAAAGGTCCCAAGCTCTTGCCTCCTGTCTGTCTGCCTCCTTCCAATGGTGTGAAATTGTAAGATGGGCAGCCATTGACATAAAGTTTATCAAGTTACTGTCTGCCTCCTTCCAATGGTGTGAAATTGTAAGATGGGCAGCCATTGACATAAAGTTTATCAAGTTGTTCCCATTTATTTCCCTGTATCGTGTTCCCGCTTCATTTGATTGCTCCAAAGTCTGTTCACTCTCATTTTGAAGAGTGACTAGAAGCTCTGCATGGTCTCAGCAGACTTGTGCCTTGAAGGAAAACTCTGCTCTTTCACCTGGAGCTATCCTGCCATCTCCCACAGACCATTCTGGGCAGTTATGCTGTAGCTTTTCCTCAATGTAATTGTCCTGGTTTTCTTCCCAGGAAGGAGCAGGGGACAGCTGAGCACTGTGTGCCATCATCTTCAACTAGGAAGCAGAAGCCCCATTTCTTTTTTCTTTTCTTTCTTCTTTAGCCCAGAAGCCCCATTTCTAAGGCAGTTTGGCTTCGTGAAGTTAGAGACATCATCTGCTGAGACCAGCAATGTTCAGTGTCAAGGTTTCAGAGCTCACATCCTGCAATGCCAGTAGAGCTGAACCATGGGCGGTTGAGTTTTAACAGTCATAGGCTGCCCGTGCCAGTTTGTATTTGACACTGGACCTCTCAAAAGAAATGATAGCAACTCTGGGCCTGGTGGTAGAGAAGGATGTAGCCTAAGGCCCTTTTTGCTCTTTCCAGATCTGCTGCCTTAGTAACCAGGTTCAAAAAATTTGCCACCGTTTTGAGAGCATTTTAGCAGCTCACAGAAATGCACCCTACCTTTCTGAAGGAAACTTTCAACTCTTGTTGGCATACCTTTTGAGCAGAAGACAAGCAGGCTGACTATGCAAAAGCCTTTGACTGTGTCGACCACAGCAAACTATGGCAAGTTCTTAAAGAAATGGGAGTGCCTGATCACCTCATCTGTCTCCTGAGAAATCTCTATGTGGGACAAGCTGCTACAGTTAGAACTGGATATGGAACAACTGATGGGTACGACAAGGCTGTATATTGTCTCCCTGCTTATTTAACTTATATGCAGAATTCATCATGCAAAAGGCTGGGCTGGATGAATCCCTAGCCGGAATTAAGATTGCTGGAAGAAATATCAACAACCTCAGATATGCATATGACACAACCTTGATGGCAGAAAGTGAGGAGAAATTAAAGAACCTTTTAATGAGGGCGAAAGAGGAGAGCACAAAATATGGTCTGAAGCTCAACATCAAAAAAACGAAGATCATGGCCACTGGTCCCATCACCTCCTGGCAAATAGAAGGGGAAGAAATGGAGGCAGTGAGAGATTTTACTTTCTTGGGCTGCATGATCACTGCAGATGGTGACAGCAGCCACAAAATTAAAAGATGCCTGCTATTTGGGAGAAAAGCAATGACAAACCTAGACAGCATCTTAAAAAGCAGAGACATCACCTTGCCAACAAAGGTCTGTATAGTAAAAGCTATGGTTTTCCCAGTAGTGATGTATGGAAGTGAGAGCTGGACCATAAAGAAGGCTGATCACTGAAGGATAGATGCTTTTGAATTATGGTGCTGGAGGAGACTCTTGAGAGTCCCATGGACTGCAAGAAGATCAAACCTATCCGTTCTTAAGGAAATCAGCCCTGAGTGCTCACTGGAAGGACAGATTCTGAAGCTGAGGCTCCAATATTTTGGCCACCTCATGAGAAGAGAAGACTCCCTGGAAAAGACCCTGATGTTGGGAAAGATGGAGGGCACAAGGAGAAGGGGACGACAGAGGATGAGATGGTTGGATAGTGTTCTCGAAGCTACCAGCATGAGTTTGACCAAACTGCGGGAGGCAGTGGAAGACAGGAGTGCCTGGTGTGCTCTGGTCCATGGGGTCACGAAGAGTCGGACATGACTAAACAACAACAACAACAACAAAGCCGTTCCTTTAATCTCCATTTTGGGATCACGGAACTTTAGGAGCCTCCATTTGTTTAAGAGAATTAATAGGAACATGTTAATCAAAAGATGTAGAACTGGTCGTGCAGTTAATCATTATACACAGGAAGGTGGGGTTTTCCTTGCATTGTTCAAAGCAAATATTTTTCTCCACAAGGAAATGCGATGAGATGTCGGTTATTAAGTGTTTGCTGCCACCTCCTCAGCTGTACTCAGGTTCAAGATAATCTCTAGAGCTTTAGTGTAGCAAGTTTTTGGAAATGTTTGAGGAATGATAGCTGACAGCTTTGGGGCCTTTAATCTTCAGCCCCCCAACACCACTCTTGACATCTAAATGATGAATCTTTCAGCATCCTTGTCCATTGGGTGACACTCCTGAGATGTAAATATGCACAGGAGACATACAAGACTCAAAAGTAGAAGCCTCTGACTGAAGGTCATTTCATCTCTTTAAAATATGGCGAGTTGAGGACACGTTCAGTCGCTTGCAGTGAGAGGCTTGCTGGTGCCATTCATGAAGACTGCCATAGCCTGTAAGTATGTTTGTGGTTTCTGGGCTGCTATTGCCACCTAGGGGTACTGTAAGAAATAAAACAAGTCAGAGTGTTCTCATTTAGTAGTGCAATTTCTAGCTAAACCATTACCAGTCCTAGACCACTTCATTTTGACAGCTTTATTATATTGAGTAGTTTGCTTGTTTCCTTACATGTTTCTATCCTACTTTTCTTTATTGAAAAACAAAAACAAAGCAGCATACTAGATTTCCAAAACACACACAACAATCCAAAATCACTAAAAACTGTACCTATGATTACCGCAATATTAGATATCACCCAAAAGCATTAAATTACAGCACTCCTGATTTTAAAAGAGAGGGAGCAACTAACCCCTGTCAAAAGGCCTTGTCTTGTGTCCCAGCCAATCAGTTGTTGGCGCCTGTCTCAAGAGACAATGGAGTGTGCCTCTGGAGGCGAAGTCAAACTGCTGCTTCAGCAGCACTGAAGTGACCTCCTCAGCGTGTGAGCCTGGCCAGTGTGTCTGGAGGTCCTGGACTGCCCAGACAAGACCCCCCTCTCAGCCTCCCTGATGGGGTCCAAAGTAGAGCAGAGCAATATTTTTGGCATCAGCACATGCAGAAACTGCCTTTTTGGCCATTGGACCCACTATTGGTCTCATCCACTCAATCCACCGGAGCCTGTCCTTAACTCACTGAGGGTTTGAGACCCATCGGCTGCCCTCTCCTCGTTTAGCCGGCCAGTCAAAGCCGTTTCCCAAAGTGTGGCTGCTGTCGCAGGCTAACAGCTTCTAGGAGCCACAGGTGAGAGCTGAGTGCAGTCGGGGGACATTTCTAAATTTGTTCAGAAATTTAGCGAAAAGATTTATAAGCATCTCAGTTTGCCTAATTACTAAATTCCTTTTATGTGCTTTATCTCTCACTGGGTTAATAGAAAATTAGGAAAGGTGTTAAGTTTCACAGCTAATTTGCAATTTCCATTGTGAATATTTCTTTAAGCCAGTGGTTCCCAATTAGCTAATTACTGAGGACCCCAATTTTTCAAAAGCCAATCCAACCCCTACTTTTGAAAAAAAATTGATAACTCTATGGTGGTTACCTCTGCGAAGCAATTTTTTGAAAATGTGGGGTAGCCCCTGATAAGCAAAGGATTTTAGGTATACAGTGGTACCTTGGTTCTCAAACACCTTGGTTCTCAAATGCCTTGGTTCTCAAACACCGAAAACCTGGAACTAAGTGTTCGGGTTTTCAAACGATTTTCGGAAGCTGAACTTCTGATGTGGCTGTCAGCTATTGTTTCCGGGGCATCTGCACCAATCAGAAGCTGCACCTTGGTTTTCGAACATTTCGGAAGTCAAACAGACTTCTGGAACGGATTACGTTGTTTTTGCTATTTTGCATTTTTGTTTTTGAGGCTTTTTCAGTTAATTTGTTTTTGTGACTGTGTGGAAACCAGGTCAGCTACTTATTGATTGTGTGACTGCGGAAATGGATAAAAGCCCCCCTCTAAACAGTGACTATCATCAGTGCAGCTAAGGGAAAAAAATTAAGATTAATTTTTATCATCTACAATACTGTCTTATTTATTTTATAATACAGTACATTGATTATTGCTTTCATTTTATGGATCAAAGGTCTTGTTAGATAGTAAAATTCATGTTAAATTGCTGTTTTAGAGGTTGTTTTTAAAAGTCTGGAACGGATTAATCTGTTTTGCATTACTTTCTATAGGAGAGCACGCCTTGGTTTTGGAACGGACTTCCAGAACAGATTGAGAACCGAGGTAAAGGTAAAGGTACCCCTGCCCGTACGGGCCAGTCTTGACAGACTCTAGGGTTGTGTGCCCATCTCACTTAAGAGGCCGGGGGCCAGCGCTGTCCACAGACTCTTCCGGGTCACGTGGCCAGTGTGACAAGCTGCATCTGGCGAGCCAGAGCCGCACACGGAAACGCAGTTTACCTTCCCGCTAGTAAGCGGTCCCTATTTATCTACTTGCACCCGGGGGTGCTTTCGAACTGCTAGGTTGGCAGGCGCTGGGACTGAACAATGGGAGCGCACCCCGCCACGGGGATTCGAACCGCCGACCTTTCGATCGGCAAGCCCTAGGCGCTGAGGCTTTTACCCACAGCGCCACCCGCGTCCCCCAGAGAACCGAGGTACCACTGTACTAAAAAAACAGACTAGGGCTGATTGATATCTGGTTTTCAACATTGTGATGTATTAGCAGCTAAACCTTGCAATATTCCAATATATCATGATGTCTGAAATTGGAGATCAGGTGTGGGGATGAGGGAAGGCGCAGTCATGGAGATTAGATGGGTGGGGGGAGGAGAGGAAGCGGAGTCACCCCCACTGCATGCTTTGAGTGGGAGGAGGTGGGGTGGGGTGGGGGTGCATCAAGTCAGTGGGGCAGCCAGCCAAGATGTCCGTCCACTGGGGCTGCTGTTGCTTTCCTGCTGACTGAAGTGAGGGCGACCTGTTTTCCCTCACCGTGAGGGAAGGCTGCAGCTTATCGGCTGCCCTCATCTCCCTTCGTTTGAAGGAGCGATATATTGCTGCGTATTGCCGAGTCAAAATCGTTAGCGCGATGTGATTTCAAAACCAATTTTGGTCAATGTATTGAAAAATCTCACAGTGTTAAAACAGAGAATAAAACTTGTGATATCTCCATGCAAAATGACAAAAATTTAGTTGGGGGAGGCAAGAGATGGGGCTGCAGACCCCCTGTGGTCCCTGGACCCCCTAATTGGGAGCCACGGCCTTAAGCAATAACTTGCATTGACTGCTCTCTTTAAATTAACTCCCAGTTTCCAAGTCGAAACAATAAGCTTTCTACAGACTGCTTAGTTTCGGATAATCAGCAACTACTTAGAACACGTAGAACCACCTCTCCCCAACAGACAATAAACTATTGTAGGTGTGAAGCAATCTCCCATTTCGAAAAACAACAGCAAGACTTTGATTGAGCAATGAAGAATAGGCTTTGTTCAAGAGAAACAGTCAAATACGGCAAGCCCCAAACCAAGCAGAACCTAAAACACCTGGATTAGGAAGTCAAAGGCGGCACCAGGTTTTTGCGCCAAAATTTATCCCGATCCTACTCCTACGCCCCCCCCCCGCTAAGGTTACCAGATTTTTTCCCAATGAATCCGGGGACACTTTCCAACTTCGATGGATTTTGTATGGGGCTGATTTGTAAATCGGGGGACCGTCCCGGGAAAGGGGGCGCCTGGTCCCCTGCCTCGAATGCTGGCAGCCCAGAGAGCTGGAAAAGCGACTGAGCGCATTTCCGGGCGGCAATTTATCGGGGCCAGAAGAGCCGCTTCGCCCGCCGCCTTTCGCGGCTCTTCCTCTCCCGCAGCCCAGCCCCCCCCCGCCCCGCGGGCCACTTCCGGCCCTGACGCCCCCGGAGCGCGATTGTGCTGCGTCGGAGGCGCGGGCGGGGCTTCTGCGGAGTGACGTCATGGGAGGGAGAAGCCCCGCCTCCGCCGCTCCCCGCCCATTCCGCGGCAGCAGCAGCAGCAGCAGCAGCAGCAGCAGGAGCCGGCAGCGCGGCGAGCGAGGGTCGCTATGGGAAGCCGGCCGCCCCCGCCCGCCCCGCGCCCGCCGCCCCCCTCGGAGGCGGCCTCTCGCCCGGGGCTCTTGCTAGCGGCCTCCATGGGCGCCTAGAGGACCCCCGGCCCCCGCCCGCCCTCCGCCCGCCCGCCCGCCATGGGCGCCCCCGGAGCCGCCCTCGTGGCCAGCCTCGTCGCGGTGAGTGGGGCGGGGAGGGCAGAGGCGCTCTGCACATGGGCAGAGGCCGGCCCTGTTCCCGGCAGCGGGGCCGGCGAGGAGGCGCCCGCGGGCGGAGGCAGCTGCGCTCTTGCGGCAAGCCAGACCTCCGCCAAGGAGCCCCGCGAGCGGGCATATTCCTCCTGCGCAGAAGGGAGCAGCAGGCAGGCAGCATTAGGGTGCGGCTGGAAGTCCCGCTGGGAAGCTGCTGCTGGGGTTGGAAGAAAGGAGGCAGGAGAGGAGCTTCTCCCCGTTCTGGCTGACGTGGGAGCAGCCCTCCTTAAGGGTCGCTTGTGGACCGGGGCCCTGGATCCTGCCATCCGATGTCTCATAGGCCAGGTGCCAAGGAACTGTCTGACCCTGGCTAGTACTGTTACAGCAGAACACTTGCATGTTTAGTACATTCGCATCCCACCTTTCCTTCAAGGAACTCAAGGCAGCAGCATTCAGGGTCCCCCCCCCCATTATCTCTGCCCCCCAACCCTTGTGAAGCAGGCGGGGCTGACGGAGTGGCACTGTCACATAGACTGTATCTTGGCAGAGCGGGGAGTTGAAGCCAGGGCTCTCCATTCTTAATGGGGTGCCCCTAGCCACCACACAACTTGGAATGGTGTTTTTTCTGGGTATATTGAAAGCATAAGTGTTTGGGGTTCCACATGTGTATCTTTGCAACTGAATCCCTCTGTAATGTGTGTGTACAGCTTGTGCAAATTTTGATTGTATGCAAATAGTAATCCTGAAAGTCCAGCAAGAAGAATTGAAACTGCCATCAGGATACACCGTTTGTACAAAAGCTTTTTTAAAAATAGCAAACAATCTTCTTGGGGTTTTCGTGACCAACAGGCAGAGCCTTTCTGAAGTTCAATTTATCCTTTGCATGGTTCTTGCCACCATGCTATCTATCATTCATTTTAATCTTGCGTGCATAGAAAAATGACTATTGTGATAGATGCTGGGGCATAGATTTGTTACGTTTTCTCCCATTCTTTGAAAACAGTCTGGTTACCAAAATCTCCAGCATGAGTCTTAAAAGGAAACGACAACAACAAATCAATGGTTTTGCAGAAGTGGAGGATGAGTGCCCTGGTGGAACTGCGTCCCTTGTGTGCTCGTTCTGGGAAGGGGGGGGAGAGAGACACCCAAGCTGAAAAGCAAAAAATGATGGGGAAATGGCAAGCACTCCCACTGCACCCACCCCCAGGAGTCCGCCAATCCAGCCGTGGTTGTGATTGTGCTTATCTACGTTTTCTGTCAGAGTGAGATTGTAGCTGATGCAGGGGTGGCCAGCTTTGAGTAAATTTCCCTTTCCATTAAGCTAGTGGGGAGGAGCTTCCCCTGCCACTTTGGAGCTGGTATAAAGGAGTGTGCCTGGCGGTTTGCAGGGCCAGCCATTGTGCTGGCCTGTCTGCCATGCCATGGGCTTCTCCAGCGGCAGACCTTCTAAGTCAACTTCACTGGCTTAGCAGGGGAAATGAGCCCAGGTTTCTCCGACCCGAGTGCAGCAATCTGTACTTAAGGGGGGGGGCAGAACATCTCCTGGGATCCAGTGGTAGATCCCAGGACCATTTGCCTAAAAGATATCCTTGCTGCTGTGAGCAAGCCCACTCAGCTCAGGCCCCTGGGAGATGGAGTGGCTGCAGAAAACATTCTTAAGGGGTTGTGGTTGTTACTGGAGAACAAGGTGAAGAAGACAGGCCATCTTGTGGGGCAGGATGAAGTGAATATCTGGGGTGGAAGCATTTTGTACTGGGGAGAGATTGGAGAAGAGGAAATGTTATAAGGCTGCTTCCTATGTTCCTTTCTGCAGCCAAAAGGCATTTGTAACTGCTTCATCAAGGGCTCCCTATTAAATTTCCGTCTCAGTGGGTTTCCACAGTCTTTCAAGCCCTGCCTGAGAAGCCATGTCTGGGCAACCATTAATCAGAATATTAACCCTGGGCCACTCCCCTTTTCTCAGTTATAAGTACATCACATCTTTATTGGGCCTTGACGACAAAAGCAACAAAATGACCTTCCATTGTTGGTACCGAAATTCTACTCTTAAATCTCTAGAAATCTTCAGTGCAGTTGCGTAGCTGCTAGGATGTGAACAGCCCTGTGGCCATTTATTTGATAAACTTGTAGGTTTTAAATTTCACAGGCAGTTGTGGTAGTTTAGTATTTGGGGCCGAATCTTATTTGGGAAGATATAATGGAAACAATTCTTTGCTCTTCCAGTGACCATCATGCTCAAAATGCTGCACACCCAAAAATTACAGTCACTTGGTTGACTGCTAAGAGTTCAACAAAAGTGTTAACCACTTGCATGTGCTGGCTAACTGCAGCTGATCCCAACAAGAGCAAGAATGCAGGATAATAGTCTTGAAGGGCACTTAATTCCAGTTGCTATAACCATGTGGAGTGGACTTAAACTTTGCAGCCCTGAAAACTGAGCCAGTTTAATTTAGCAACTGTTTTGTTATCTACTGGCGAAAATCTTACGTTTCAAAGTATGATTTCAAAATAGATTTGAATTTTTTAAATTGACACCACTTCAGATATCTATTTTATTATGCCAGCATTAAATCTGATGCACTGGCATTGGGGCTTCTCCTGACCCCCACCCCTAGCTGATGCTCATATGGGCGGTATGGGGAAGGAAAAGGGGGGAAGGCCCCATTGTACTAGCAGAAGTCTTTCTGCAGGCTTCTGCAAACAGGACTCATTGGTTGAATCCAGTGCACAATAAAATGGATATTTGAATCAACAGTCATTAGTGACTAATGCATGGAGATAATAGAATAATAGAACTATAGAGTTGGAAGGGATCCCTAAGGGCCATCTAGTCCAACCCCCTGCAATGCAGGAATCACAGCTGCTGAATCCCTGGTAGATGGCCATCCACTCTCGGCTTAAAAACCTCCAAGGAAGGAGAGTCCACTACCTTCCAAGGGAGTCCGCTGCTTACTATGGCCTGCATAGCCATTTTAATGCCCTTCCTTCTAGTTGGGAGAGATGGGTTTAGAGCTCTTTCCTACCTCATTTAGTCGTGTGTGTGTGTGTCCCCTCCCCCGAGTTATTTTATGTCACCAGCAAGCTTGACCACCCTGCTGTTCACCCCCTTAATGCCAGATAATTTATAAACAAGCTAAAAAGCACTGGTGCCAATATAAATCCTCCCCTCCACACTGATTACATCCCTCTATTAGGAAAGTTGTCAATTAATTCCCAGTCTTTGCTTCCTCTGTTTTAGCCCGTTTCCAATCTATAAGAGGACTTCCTCTCTTACCCCATGTGTCTTTGCTGAGAAACTTTATCTAACACTTTTTGAAAGTCCAAGTATACTGTGTCTTTCCGCTCTCTTGGATCATTCCTTTCCATGTGTTTATTGACCCTGTCACAGAACTGAATGATTCTTTCACCAGTTTACCCAGAAGTTACGCTAACAGGCCTGTAACTTCCTGGATCCTTTTTCCATTGGCTGCTTAATGTTCTCTGGCAGATGAGGGCACTTGGAGGGGCTGTTTTAGGGCTACAGGAGGAGGACAACAGTTCCGGGATGGGGGCAGCTCAAAGGGTCAGAGGCAGCTTCTCCTCGGTCTTCTGCCAGTCCTCTGCCAGAGGCTTTCCAAAAGGCAATTCAGAGGGAATGGGTTACACCTGCCTGTAAGAAAGAACCCCACAGGGTCTATACTTGTCTGTCAGGATGCTATGGAAAATCTTTAAAGTGCCATTAGTAGACATTTTGTTGGCAGCTTTTTAGCAGCTTGCGTATTTCTCCCTTCAGAAGCCGATGACCTGCCTAGCGATCAGGGCAGTAAACTTCAGCTCATGGATTGGTAGATGGGCAAAAACTCTTCCAGGCCGCGAGCCGAGCATGTCTTTCAAATGCAGTTACCTAAATAGAGTAAAGCTGATACGGCTTGCTGTGACCTGCCTTATGGCCTGTAGCTAACTTACATTTATCTCTGTGTTTCAGGGATTTATGTTCCTTGGTACCACTGATGCTCAGTCAAAGCTGACATCTGAACAGAATGCCATAAGCCTCTCTTCTGGCACATACAGCCACTTGGATCGTTCCACTAACACAAAGCTGACTTGTGACAAATGTCCCGCAGGAACCTATGTGTCTAAGCACTGCACAACCACCAGCTTAAGACAGTGCAGCCCATGCGCCAGTGGAACATTCACAAAGCATGAAAATGGGATAGAGAGATGCCATCCATGTAGAAAGCTGTGTGAGCCACCAATGGTTGAGAAAACCCCTTGCACTGCTTTGACGGACCGTGAGTGCATCTGTCCGCCTGGTAAATTTCGAGACGGTGATGCTTGCAAATCTTACTCTGTGTGCCGCGTTGGGTGGGGCCTAAAAAAGAAAGGAACTGAAACAGAAGATGTCAAGTGTAAACCTTGCCCTCGTGGCAGCTTCTCTGATGTGCCTTCTAGCATGCTGAGATGCAAAACATTCACTGACTGCTCACGAGCAAACATGGTTGTGATCAAACCAGGGACAAAAGAGAGAGACAACACTTGTGGACTTTCACCAGCTTTTCTGACTGGAGCTGGGCTTTTGTCACGACCGGAAGAGGGTGGAGAACATTACAAAGTTCCTTCTACTTTTCTTTCCAAAGGTAAGTGAACAGCATTGCCAAACGTCTGTAGCTAGGGCATGCAAGATTGGGCAAGAAGTATGGTATATCGCATTTTTGTATATATGTATATCTTTTTTATTATACACATCTTTGTTGTCGTCCCCCATCCCCTCACTTCCCCCCTTTTTTCTCTGTATCACTTTTTCTTTAGAATTGAAATTCTTTCAATAAAATATTAATATTAATTTTTAAAAAATTAAGTGTGCTTTTCTGAGAAAGGAGCTGGTAAGGCGTTAGCTGTGTTTTGGAATGCCTTCTGTACAGAGGCACTTCCAGCTGGTGCATTACATGGTATTAGAGACCCTTTACCCAGCTCCCAAGCGGTGCAATTATCTCTTGGGTCAGCTCCACACTGGTCAGGGTCTGCTTCTGCCCTGGTGGTGGTTCTGCGCTTAGCATACCATGCCATGACTTTTCTGAGCAGTCTGAAGCCATGGAGATGGGAGAGGCTTTTATCTTGTAATCCTCCTATGCCTGCATCCCTCACAGGGACTCTCATGGAACTTTGTGGGACTTCTGGGAAGATATGCCTAGGATTATATCAATTAAGATCTTCTTTTATCCCAAACACTTCAGACTAGCGCCATCCTGTTCACGATTCTGTTGCTTTGCAGCAGTCAGGAGAGTAGGTGCTGATTGATTTAGAATCATAGAATCATAGAGTTGGAAGAGACCACAAGGGCCACCGAGTCCAACCCCCTGCCAAGCAGGAAACACCATCAGAGCACTCCTGACATGTGGTTGTCAAGCCTCTGCTTAAAGACCTCCAAAGAAGGAGACTCCACCACACTCCTTGGCAGCAAATTCCACTGTCAAACAGCTCTTACTGTCAGGAAGTTCTTCCTAATGTTTAGGTGGAATCTTTGAATGGTGGCTTGTTCCATTTTGTTTTGGAATTTATATATTGTTATGTAGACACCTCCATGGACACACAGGTGGGCATCCCTCCTTTGGATACAATCCAAACTGCAACCTTCGTAGCTCTTGCATAGCAAGGGTTGTGGAATCAGTTTGTACTCAATGTCCATTCACTGTTATGGATCAAAACACCATTATTGCAAATGTTTGCCATAGCATAAAAATCATAATTGGAATAATTTTATTATCTAAGTCTATATATGCTATTTCTTTGGAATGAACTAAAAACTGGGTTGAAATGCAATTGGAATATTCCCAGTGGTTATCAGATACCTCCAGTCCTTTTCAATACATAAACTGTTGTATTGGGGGGATAAAATGTATTTTTGTTAACTTTCTAGCTGACATAATGTAGCAACAGCTAATCTTAGTACAGTGGTACCTCGGGTTACATACGCTTCAGGTTACATACGCTTCAGGTTACAGACTCCGCTAACCCAGAAATAGTACCTTGGGTTAAGAACTTTGCTTCAGGATGAGAACAGAAATCATGCAGCGGCGGCGTGGCAGCAGCAGGAGGCCCCATTAGCTAAAGTGGTGCTTCAGGTTAAGTTTCAGGTTAAGAACGGATCTCCGGAACGAATTAAGTACTTAACCCGAGGTAATACTGTATTAATAAGCTACTGATCAGTTTTGCTGAAACTTACCAGAAAAATAATAAATCAAGATAACAAACTTTTAATAAAAGAATGGAAATGGTTTATTGAATATCTACAAACTGTAAACAGATAAGAACATTGGCAGGATTATTGTAATAACCTGTAGTTTTATAAGAGTATATATTTAAAATACATGAATAACTTAAGTTAATTTAGAATATGCAGGAAATGTAAAAAATAAATTCAAGGAACCGCAGAAAGAGGAGGAAGTAAGTCAGGGACTTTAAAATGGCTTCAGTGGATCCATCGTATTACCGAGATGTAGCTATTGAAGTAGGATCTGATTGTGGTAACAAGGTATTGTATCAAAAATATAAGGGACTGAATCAAGGTTGTTAAAGTAAGATCCTGGTTCATTGCTGTGCGATACATTATGACAAAGCATGGCTGCCAAACTGAAAGAGGCGAAGCAATAGACGTGGGCGGACTTGAGCCAAGATATTCTCTTGGTCTCAGCACAGCATGTTTAGAAAACCTAATTCATTTCTGACACTTTCTTTGTAATGAACTATCAATGGCTTTCACCATAAAATCTGGTCATGCCTAATCTAGAACAAGGAGAAAAAGCATGCTTAATGTCATGTGCATGTTTGATTATTTTTGCAAGTTGGGGATCCCTGCAAAACAATGGCTACACGTTGTCAGAACGATGAGCAAGGTGTTGGTTTGACTTTTGCTGTTTAGCTTTGGTGTTGTAAACATTTTTGAATATTGCAAAACTTAACTGAAAGCTTAATTGTGCCTGTGTCATTTGGGGCTTTATTTATAGCCTTCCCCCCACATTTAGATCATCAAAGCAGCTTGCAAACTTGTTTGGAAAAAATTGTTCAGAATCTCATCAGGGACAGGCTTCCACATACAGACCTTCTATCCTAGAACTATCTCCCTTGCCCTTCGCAATTATTCACAACCTCTTCAGTCTGGCTGATTGGCCTCCAGCAGTCGAGCAACAGAGCGCCCCTTTCCCAGAAGCGCATTCCCTTTTAAACAAAATTTGGGGCTGTTGTTGATACCAGTGTATGGGTCATGAGTTCAACTTGCGCCTTCCACCCAGTTCTTCCTGTGGATGCTGTTATATGTATATTTGTTTGCACTCACATAACATAAATGAGAACCCCCTTTGTAAGTCCTCTAGGAATCAATTGTACTTAAAGGGCATTTGGGCCAGAGCTACAGTAAGAGTGGGTAGGTTCTATACCTGCTGCTCTAACATTGCATTTGTTTTCCAGGTGTGAACGCTTCGGTGTCCAATTTTTCTGCCACCCCTACCCCAAATGTGTCCGTTGACATGGTGGAGCCAACCAACAGCTACAATGGGACTTCAAAGAATGAGACTGTAGTTGCCAACGTGACTGATATGGGATATGTTACGCCTTTGAATCACCAGCAAACCTATTACCATAAGCACGCCCCTCCCATCCTGAAAGTACAGCCAGCGCTGGAAATGAGTGGCAGTGTGAGATCCAGCATTCCCTACAACCCCCCCAAGAGAGGCTCTCCAAGGCAGGCTGCCCACAGGCATTTCGATATCAACGAGCACCTGCCCTGGATGATTGTGCTGCTGCTGCTGCTTGTGCTGGTGGTGATTGTTGTGTGCAGTGTCCGTAAAAGTTCTCGAACGCTAAAGAAAGGACCAAGGCAGGATCCCAGTGCCATTGTCGAAAAGTCCGTTTTGAGAAAATCTTCCACTCTGTCTCAGAACAGGGAGAAATGGATCTACTACTGCAATGGCCATGGTGAGTGATGTCGAGCAAATTCCACAAGTGAAACCTAGAGAATTCTGTTCATAACTGAAATTGTTCATCCTGTTTAACTTAAAACAAGAGTTTTGCAGCACATTAAAGGCCATGCTATTGAAGCTGGCATTTTTCAGTTGGGGAAAAACAGCTTTGTGACAAGATGGGATGGCAGGAAAACAAGCGATGGGGATAAGATCTTTCCCACCTCCACCTGCCCCAGAACTAGAGATTGGAATCTCCCATGGCTACTTTTTGGAAAGAAGCACGGCCATTCCGAAACAGCAGCTTAAAAGTTGCCTCTGGTTTGATCCTAAACTTAAAGCACTATGGAAGTGGAGTGGCGTGCCTTGACGAACTTTGTATTCGTAAAAGCTGTTTGCTATTAACTCCTGAGCCTCTGTGATGTGGTAGTTATCTCAAAATGGCTCAGCAGGTTAAAGCAAATGCTGATGTGGTCCATTGCTCTTGCGTATTTGCTGGCTTATCTGCCTGTGTCTGTGCCAGCTGTATTCTTGCATTACTTAAGGCACGGTTCTTCAAATAGTTCCTATAAGGATACTAGTATAAACGCATAACATTTCCATTGTCTTCAGCAGAGAATAAAGCAAGAAAGCCCAGAATGGCTATCATAATACTGTTGATAGATCAGTCAGCTGAAAAATGTATGCAGGCTTCCAAGTTAGTTTTCTTATTCAGCAGAATAGAAATATGCTCAAGGTTATGGAGAGTCCCCAGGACTACTTTGAATTACTGTCTTCAGAGATGGCTAAGCCCCAGTTCGGGGACCCAATCTGCCCCCTTCCCAGGAAAAAGAAATAAAGTAGGCTGTGCTGGGGTGAGCAGAGCCCAGTGCCTGCTGCGCAACTGGGACTCGCACAGTTGGGTGGAGATCAGCTGAAGAGAGAGGGCTTATTTGGCTTGTGGAGGGTGGTTGCCCCCATTTCCGGCTACCCCGGCTGCTGGTATACTGTCCCTGCAATGCTGGCAAAGGTAAAATTTAGCTCTTGGGTCATGAAAGGTTAGCCAGCCCTCCATTAAACTAGCCACAATTTTATGGACCCCTCAGCAGGTTTAATCTTCCCCAAAAATATATTATGCTACAAAACTTAAATACAGAATCAGTGGTTATACATCACAGATGGCTTTAAGACTTCCACTGCTTTTATATATTTGCAGCAGGAGCTCCAGAGAGAGAGAGAAGCTATGCTCCTGGCCTCCCCCCCCCCCGTGATACCCCACCATTGCCATTAGTTTTAGTCTTGCCCACAGTTGGCATGTGACCCACCCAAAAACCCTAAGAGGATGTGCCATTTGACAAAAACGGGGGTGGAAATCTATCTAAAATTTACAATAAGAAAATTCTACCTCTAGCACACTTTTGTGCCCCTTTTGGCAGGCCCACTTGCAGCTTCGCCCCCACCTCTGGCATTAAACCTGAATAGGGAATTCTGCGTTCATTCATAAAGCCAAGGCTCTTCTCTCCGCCTCCGGTTACTTTTGGCAAATGGGAACACACAGCTCTTCCAAGTGATTACGTGAAAGTGGGCTGCTGACTGCATCTTCCTCAACTTCAAATGCTTCTCTAGAGGCTGTACTCTTTTCTTTTTCTTTTTAAACAAACATAGACGCTGCCTTCACTTCACTCTAGGGGAGGCTCCTTCTTTAACATGAACTGCCTAGTTCCTGGAATATAGATTTTCAAGCAACTTACAGGGTCTTCACCTGAGTCACCCTGCCAGTGCATTCTTTCTCTGGAATTTGCCGATAGCTGCCTCCAAGCTGGCTAATGCTTAATGGCGATATGCAAGTATCCTAGGGCGGGAGCCTACCTGTTAGCCTTTGCTTGCTTGGTGCCTTACTCCTCCCCAGGAGGCAGGGAACCAAACCGAAGCCACTCTTAGCAAAACAGGTCACTGCTGTGGCGCACGCTGCCAGAAAGGGCTCCCTTCCCTAGTTGTTTCAGTCTGTTGCTCTTAATTGATCCCTTTGCCCTTAATTTGCCCCTCCTCCTTTTTTTGAAATAAATGTTATGGTTGCAACACAAACACACATGACACTAAAAGAATAAACTTAAAAAGAAAATACTGTACAAATACAAGTACGAATATAGACACAAATACTAAACAAATAATAAACATATCACCATATTTCACTTCTTCCTTTCTTCTAATTGACTTCCTTCGTCCTCAGTGCAGGTTTAAAAAGGTAAAGGGACCCCTGACCATTAGGTCCAGTCATGACCGACTCTGGGGTTGCGTTGTTCATCTCGCTTTATTGGCCGAGGGAGCCAGCGTACAGCTTCCAGGTCATGTGGCCAGCAGGACTAAGCCGCTTCTGGCAAACCAGAGCAGCACACGGAAATGCAGTTTACCTTCCCGACAGTACCCATTTATTTACTTGCACTTTGATGTGCTTTCAAACTGCTAGGTGGGCAGGAGCAGGGACCGAGCAACGGGAGCTCTCCCCATCACGGGGATTCGAACCGCCGACCTTCTGATTGGCAAGTCCTAGGTTCTGTGATTTAACCCACAGTGCCACCCGCGTCTACTTTCATATTTAATAAACTGTTTCCTTCTCATTTTGTTTTTTCCTACTTTTCTTTCTATTTTAGACTTTTACAGCTTAATTTGTTTTGCAAAAGTTAATCAAAAGAAGTCCACGTTTTAATTTGAGGGCACTGCTTTTTATGATAATCTCTATATTTTCCCCATTCCTTTTGAAATTTTTGTTTAGACTGACCCCTAACTGCATCTGTCATTCTAGCCAACTCAAAATAATCACATAATTTTTCTTGCCATTCTTTTTTTGTTGGCCTGACTTGTTTTTCCAATTTTTGGCAATTAGGATTCTTGCCGCCGATGTTGCATACAGGAATATTTTTGTGTTTCTCCAGTGATATCTGAATCTAATATTCCCAATAGAAAAGCTTCTGGGTTGTTGTTTTTTTTACAAAAGTTTGTTTAAATATTTTCTTCAACTCTTCATATACCAAATCCCAGAAGTTCTTAATTTTATCACAGGTCCACCACATATGTAGGAGCGTCCCCGCTGCTTGATTGCACCTTCAACAAAATTTAGATTTTGTTTTATACATTTTAAATATTTTGCGTGGTGTTAAATACCATCTATAAAACATCTTTAACAAATTTTCCTTTATCGTCTCACAAGCTGTAAATCTCCAATTCTCTTTCCATAATTTCCCCCATGATGATAATTGAATAGGTTTGCCTATGTCCATTGCCCATTTAATCATTACCTCTTTTACTTGTTCATCCTTCACCTCCCACTCTAGTAAAGTTTCATACATTTTTGAGATTACCTTTGTCCTATTTTGTAACAATTCTTTGTCCTATATTCGAATTTCACTTCGTTCAATTGCTGGTACTGAATCCACCCTGTTTGGTGATGTTTTACTTCCTCATATTTTTTCAGTTTCAATTTGTTATCTCTTTCTTTTAGTAATTAATTTGCCCCTTCTAGGCAGCTATGCAAGTTGAGCTCTGAAGGAGAAAGCTGTACTGGGCAGGGCTGACAGGGGGCAATGAGGTAGGGTGTTCATGAGCAGGGGGACAGAGGGCATCTTTCCCAAGCACCCCCCCAAAAAAAAGAGGGGGGAAACTGAAGCCAGCACAGGAAAGGAGGATGGAATCATGGAAATTAACTGGAAAAGAAAACAGGGAGGGTTTAGATAAAGGAGGAAATTAATTGGAGCATATGTGATTATTATTATTTTTTAAGATCCATAACCTTGGTTTAGTTGATCCATAAGCCTATAATCTCATGGAAAGTAGTAGCATAGAAAATGTTTATATCCTACAAAATGATCATTTTAATATTTTTTTCCCAAGTAAATACCACCCGGTCTAATGAGACTTAGTTCACGTACGTAAAAATGAAAGCTCGGGATTTGTGACTTTGCCAACAGCTGCGATTTGGGGATAAGGGGAAAGCCGATCTGCAATATCTGTTCAATGAGAAAGGCAGTCTGCAAATACTCAAAACTAGTTTGCAGCTTTAAATTGCCCCCTCTCAGTCCTCCTCACAAGCTCTTCCAGGCGATTTGTGTTTATGATGTGGTGTTGTTTTCTGTCCATGTTTGGGTTATTGTGTGCTGAGCCCAGTTAGCTTTTTGTTAGAGAAAGGCACTCTACGCGTGTTCAGAGGTACTGGCTTGAGTTGGGCTGGTGTTAGACTCTGTAGTGAGGAAGTCTCAAGCTTGTTGAAAGCCTAATATAGTGAATAAGAGCAATTATTTATCAGCTGGCACTCCCCCTGCTTCAAGTCTCAGCACTATCATGAACTCACAAGGTGACTTGAGGCAAGCCACAGTCTTACACCCCCTTGATGTGAGAGTCTGCCTAACTTACCAAAGTATTGTAAAGATTGCTGTGATATATATTCCAGGGAGTTGTTAGACTGCGGAGAAAACAATCATTTTTAGGAGTAGTAGATTTATTGTGGCATAAGTTTATGGACTGCATGCATCTGTGAGTACTCTGTACTACAAAATGTCATGCTGCAATAAAGCTGTTTGTTTTCCAATGTCAGAAGATTCTTGCAGTCGGTGGAGTGAGTTTGGCAAGAGTTCCCTTAAGAGAAACTGACTAATGTGGGGGAGGGAGACAGTGCTCCTGAAGGTAGGAGTCTATCAATTGATGAAGATGATCATCCAAATGTCATAGACCGAATGGAGCAAAGAGCATGCAGACCTAGTGGTGGGAGGAGAAAATCCTTAAATAAGAGACACGGGGGAATGATTAATGGACTTCAATGTCTGTACACTAATGCGCAAAGCATGGGAAATAAACAAGATGAGCTTGAGCTCCTGGTACAGCAAACTAAATATGACATAATAGGAATCACTGAAACCTGGTGGGATAAATCCCACGATTGGAATGTAATAATGGAGGGATACAATCTATTTCAAAGAAACAGACCAGACAAGAAAGGAGGAGGAGTGGCGTTATATGTCAGGGATGTGTATACCTGTGAAGAGATCCAAGATTTAGAACCTCAAAGCCAAAGTGAGAGCATTTGGGTCAAAATTAAGGGAGAGAAGAATAACAGTGACCTCATTGTGGGAGTTTACTATAGATCCCCAAGCCAAACGGAGGACATAGATGATGCCTTCCTGGAACAGATGGCCAAGCATGCAAAAGGAAGGGAGATAGTAGTAATGGGGGACTTCAATTACCCGGATATTTGTTGGATGTCAAACTCAGCCAAGAGCATAAGGTCAAACAGATTCCTCACTGCCCTTGCAGACAACTTCATTGTCCAGAAAGTGGGAGAAGCAACAAGAGGAACAGCCATTTTAGATCTGGTCCTAACCAATGTTGATGACCTGGTTAGTGGGGTAGAAGTGGAAGGATCATTAGGCGCGAGTGATCATGCTCTTCTGAAGTTTACTATACAGCGGAAAGGAGCAGCCAAGCATACTAGGACTCAATTTCTCGACTTTAAGAAAGCCGACTTCATAAAGCTTAGGGAAGTGCTGGGTGAGATCCCATGGACAGTAATACTAAAAGGAAAGGGAGTTCAAGATGGCTGGGAGTTTGTTAAGAGGGAGATAGTAAAAGCACAACTTCAGGCAATACCAATGAGACGGAAACATGGAAGGTGCCTAAAGAAGCCAGGGTGGCTATCTAAAGAACTTTTAACTGAGTTAAGATTAAAAAAGGATGTGTACAAAAAATGGAAAAGGGGGGAAACCACCAAAGAGGAATTCAAACAAATAGCCAGCACGTGTAGACACAAAGTCAGAAAAGCTAAAGCACAAAATGAACTCAGGCTTGCTAGAGAGGTTAAAAGCAACAAAAAAGGCTTTTATGGGTATGTTCGTAGCAAAAGGAAGAACAAAGAAACCGTGGGGTCACTCAGAGGAGAAGATGGTGAAATGCAAACAGGGGACACAGAAAGGGCTGAACTCCTCAATGCCTTCTTTGCCTCAGTCTTCTCCGATAAAGAAAACAATGCCCGACCTGAAGAATTTGGAGCAAATGATTCAGCAGAGGAAACACAGCCCAGAATAACTAAGGAGATAGTACAAGAATACTTGGCTAGTCTAGATGTATTCAAGTCTCCAGGGCCAGATGAACTGCATCCAAGAGTATTAAAAGAACTGGCAGATGTGATTTCAGAACCACTGGCAGTCATCTTTGAGAATTCCTGGAGAACAGGCGAAGTCCCGGCAGACTGGAGGAGGGCAAATGTTGTCCCTATTTTCAAAAAGGGGAAAAGAGAGGACCCAAATAATTATCGCCCAGTCAGTCTGACATCAATACCAGGGAAGATTCTGGAGCAGATCATTAAGCAAACAGTCTGTGAGCACCTAGAAAGGAATGCTGTGATCACCAATAGTCAGCATGGATTTCTGAAAAATAAGTCATGTCAGACTAACCTGATCTCGTTTTTTGACAGAATTACAAGCCTGGTAGATGAAGGGAACGCAGTGGATGTAGTCTACCTTGATTTCAGCAAGGCATTTGACAAGGTGCCCCATGATATTCTTGTAAAGAAGCTGGTAAAATGCGGTCTTGACTATGCTACCACTCAGTGGATTTGTAACTGGCTGACTGACCGAACCCAAAGGGTGCTCATCAATGGTTCCTCTTCATCCTGGAGAAGAGTGACTAGTGGGGTGCCACAGGGTTCTGTCTTGGGCCCGGTCTTATTCAACATCTTTATCAACGATTTGGATGATGGACTCAAGGGCATCCTGATCAAATTTGCAGATGACACCAAACTGGGAGGGGTGGCAACACCCCAGAGGACAGGATCACACTTCAAAACGACCTTGACAGATTAGAGAACTGGGCCAAAACAAACAAGATGAATTTTAACAGGGAGAAATGTAAAGTATTGCACTTGGGCAAAAAAAATGAGAGGCACAAATACAAGATGGGTGACACCTGGCTTGAGAGCAGTACATGTGAAAAGGATCAAGGAGTCTTGGTTGACCACAAACTTGACATGAGCCAACAGTGTGACGCGGCAGCTAAAAAAGCCAATGCAATTCTGGGCTGCATCAATAGGAATATAGCATCTAGATCAAGGGAAGTAATAGTGCCACTGTATTCTGCTCTGGTCAGACCTCACCTGGAGTACTGTGTCCAGTTCTGGGCACCACAGTTCAAGAAGGACACTGACAAACTGGAACGTGTCCAGAGGAGGGCAACCAAAATGGTCAAAGGCCTGGAAATGATGCCTTATGAGGAACGGCTAAGGGAGCTGGGCATGTTTAGCCTGGAGAAGAGGAGGTTAAGGGGTGATATGATAGCCATGTTCAAATATATAAAAGGATGTCACATAGAGGAGGGAGAAAGGTTGTTTTCTGCTGCTCCAGAGAAGCGGACACGGAGCAATGGATCCAAACTACAAGAAAGAAGATTCCACCTAAACATTAGGAAGAACTTCCTGACAGTAAGAGCTGTTCGACAGTGGAATTTGCTGCCAAGGAGTGTGGTGGAGTCTCCTTTTTTGGAGGTCTTTAAGCAGAGGCTTGACAACCATATGTCAGGAGTGCTCTGATGGTGTTTCCTGCTTGGCAGGGGGTTGGACTCGATGGCCCTTGTGGTCTCTTCCAACTCTATGATTCTATGATTCTATGAGATTCTTTCAATACTGTTAAGGGAACTCTCCTCGAACCCACTGAATTCCACTGATGGTAGCAGATTGGCAGGGCGAATGGAGGTGGATCACCCCCACTTGATAGAGGCACTGACAAACACAGCATTCCTCAGATCTGGCTTGCCTATATTCTTCCGAAGGACCGCTGCAATGTCCTACAGGGGCAGTGGGAGGGCAGTCCCCTGGGACATGGACAAGGCTGTCTGCCTGAGGAAGGGAAGACTGATGAGCCAGAAGAGGCTCTAATGGCCTGATGCCTTGCTTGATCAAGAACTCCATTCTGAAACTGCAGAGGTGCTTTCTGTGCAGCCAGTTTGCAATGGGGGCAGTTTTCACAGCTGTGTTCTGAGAGACTTGCAGCCAAAATGCCTTATCATGCTGGGACTTCAGCTCATATGTTGCGTTTGTATTTTTCAACTCTCCATCAGTACTAAACAAGGTCCCTGGTCCCTGAGTTTTGTTTTAAAGCTGCTCTTTGAATAGAAAGGTCACTGCTTGCAATAAAAGGAAAGTTTTATTTCCTTATACTAGTGAGTTGGCTGTGCAGTCTCTCTAAATCTGGCATCAGCATAAATGCCAGAATAATTATGAAATAGATTTGAGTTGTAACCAAGTGCTGAAGGTGGAAAGGAAATCATGGCTATCATCTTCAATCCTCCTGAATTTAATATATATATTGGTCTTTCAGCTTCAAATTCTTCTATGTAGTGCATGGCTTCCATGCTCCTGGTGGCAACAAACAAGTCTCCTTCTCCTTTGCTCCATTGCCAACGGGAAGCAGAAGACAATTGGCTGGCAGCCTTTGGCAATGAAGACAAATTAAAGGAGCCCTCCCACCACCTATGGCATATGGGAAAGGGATGTTGAGGCCCAAAGTAAGCTGGATCCACAGGTTGCAAGAGGTATTTTTCTCGTGTTCTCTGGAACTTCACATAGAGGGAAATGGGGAAAGGTGCCTTCTGAGCCCTGAGGTTCTGTATGGATAGATAAGTGAGACAGTTTCTACTAAGCTTTCTCCAGAGGTGGCCCAGGTCATCCATCCTTTTCAAATCCCAAAACTCTTCCTATTATTATCCTTTCAGTCATGGGGGAATGTTGCTCCCCATGGGCCCAACTCACCACTGCCAGACTCCAGTGGATAGAACTTGGGGTTCTAGTAAAAAACAAAGTAGATCCTGAAAGTCCAAAGTTTGCCCATCTTTGCAGTATGGGAATTGCAGAAGCACAAGCAATAATACCCAATTTTTTTAAAACCCTCCAAATTTAGGTGAACCAAAGTCGCATTGCCATAACTGCATGAGGCAATGATCAGGGCTACTCATAGGATCCCCAGCTTGGCACAATTTTGGAGGACATAAGGTGGCACCCTCAACTGTTAAGAAAGCTAGAGCATTGGTGTTTGCCTCTCAGTGAACCTTCTGGTTCAGAAAAAATATTAACCAGTAGACTACAAAATAGCTTTTGAAATACCGCTGTGAGGGACCTTGTTGCTTGGTCCAAATATGCAACGATGACCCCTGGGAATACTAAGCGAAATTCAATTTTCTTTTGGTTTATCACCCATCAAACAGGCATTGACATTCTGAAGCTGGTGGCAGCCCAAGTTGGAAGCCAGTGGAAGGAGATCTACCAGTTCCTGTGCAATGCAAGCGAGCGGGAGGTGGCTGCTTTCACCAGCAGCTATTCTGCAGACCACGAGAGGGCCTATGCAGCTTTACAGCACTGGACCATCAGGGGCTCTGAAGCCAGCCTTGCCCAGCTGATCAGTGCTCTCCGTCAGCACCGGCGCACGGATGTGGTGGAGAAGATCAGGGGCTTAATGGAAGACACGACACAGGTAAGATACACATGTAATGCTTGACTCTGTTAGCTCACGCCCAGCACAATCCTGACCATGTCTGCTCAGAGGTAACACCTATTGGATTCAATGGGACTTACTTTCAGGTAAGTGTAATTAGAGCTGCAGCATTAGTGAATTAAGGCTCGGTCCCTGCTGCTGATTTTGAGGCCTGCAAACAGGATAGCCCTTTGTAGGGTTCAACTACCTTCATAGCACCATAGACTTGTAGAACTGGAAGGAATCTTAACTCATATCTTTACATTCCTGGCAAAATGTTGCCAGTTTCTTAAGGCCTGAAAGATTTTCCTCAACAATCTGATGGAGCTCCACTTAATTTTTTGTGTACTGTGAATTCATGGAACCTGGAGGAGATCATACTTCCCGTTTTGAGAGGTGGCTGTGCCGATAGATAATAACGGAACCCTTGGACCAGACCTTCGCCTCCTTCAGGCATCCTGGTATTGGTTACAGGTGTCAAGCAGGAATTGTACAGCAAAATACAGGGAGCTAGCAGAAGAATTCCCCTTTCCCCTTGTTTCCTTGTTCCTTGTTTCACTCCATGCTTCTGTAAGCAGTTGGAAGCCCTGAAATGACACTAGTACCTACCAATTAAGCAGTGCATAATGTAGTTTAAAGTTGCTTTCTGAAACAATTGGCCAGTGTCAATCCTATAGTTAAGCAGCAAAGTGGGACTTTACCACCATCTTCCAGCAATCTCTCAGTATTACGGAGATCCTGATTATACCACAGAGAGTGTACCATTTCATAATGCCAAGTCAGCAGCAGGTGATTTTCTACACATTTGTTTAAATCAGGTTTGCCTCTGCCTTTTATTTTTAAACTGTATTATACTTTTCCAAGCACGTTTCTGAGTGTTGGTGCTGACCTTTAAAGCCCTAAGTGGCCTGGGTCCTGTATACCTGAAGGAGCATCTCCACCCTCCTTGTTCAGCCCAGAGACTGAGGTCCAGCTCCAAGGGCCTTCTGGCGGTTCCCTCACTGCAAGAAGCCAAGTTACAGGGAACTAGAATCATAGAATCATAGATCATAGAATCATAGAATCATAGAGTTGGAAGAGACCACAAGGGCCATCGAGTCCAACCCCCTGCCAAGCAGGAAACACCATCAGAGCACTCCTGACATATGGTTGTCAAGCCTCTGCTTAAAGACCTCCAAAAAAGGAGACTCCACCACACTCCTTGGCAGCAAATTCCACTGTCGAACAGCTCTTACTGTCAGGAAGTTCTTCCTAATGTTTAGGTGGAATCTTCTTTCTTGTAGTTTGGATCCATTGCTCCGTGTCCGCTTCTCTGGAGCAGCAGAAAACAACCTTTCTCCCTCCTCTATGTGACATCCTTTTATATATTTGAACATGGCTATCATATCACCCCTTAACCTCCTCTTCTCCAGGCTAAACATGCCCAGCTCCCTTAGCCGTTCCTCATAAGGCATCATTTCCAGGCCTTTGACCATTTTGGTTGCCCTCCTCTGGACACGTTCCAGTTTGTCAGTGTCCTTCTTGAACTGTGGTGCCCAGAACTGGACACAGTACTCCAGGTGAGGTCTGACCAGAGCAGAATACAGTGGCACTATTACTTCCCTTGATCTAGATGCTATACTCCTATTGATGAGGCCCAGAATTGCATTGGCTTTTTTAGCTGCCGCGTCACACTGTTGGCTCATGTCAAGTTTGTGGTCAACCAAGACTCCTAGATCCTTTTCACATGTACTGCTCTCAAGCCAGGTGTCACCCATCTTGTATTTGTGCCTCTCATTTTTTTTGCCCAAGTGCAATACTTTACATTTCTCCCTGTTAAAATTCATCTTGTTTGTTTTGGCCCAGTTCTCTAAACTGTCAAGGTCGTTTTGAAGTGTGATCCTGTCCTCTGGGGTGTTAGCCACCCCTCCCAGTTTGGTGTCATCTGCAAATTTGATCAGGATGCCCTTGAGTCCATCATCCAAGTCGTTGACAAAGATGTTGAATAAGACCGGGCCCAAGACAGAACCCTGTGGCACCCCACTAGTCACTCTTCTCCAGGATGAAGAGGAACCATTGATGAGCACCCTTTGGGTTCGGTCAGTCAGCCAGTTACAAATCCACTGAGTGGTAGCATAGTCAAGACCGCATTTTACCAGCTTCTTTACAAGAATATCATGGGGCACCTTGTCAAATGCCTTGCTGAAATCAAGGTAGACTACATCCACTGCGTTCCCTTCATCTACCAGGCTTGTAATTCTGTCAAAAAACGAGATCAGGTTAGTCTGACATGACTTATTTTTCAGAAATCCATGCTGACTATTGGTGATCACAGCATTCCTTTCTAGGTGCTCACAGACTGTTTGCTTAATGATCTGCTCCAGAATCTTCCCTGGTATTGATGTCAGACTGACTGGGCGGTAATTATTTGGGTCCTCTCTTTTCCCCTTTTTGAAAATAGGGACAACATTTGCCCTCCTCCAGTCTGCCGGGACTTCGCCTGTTCTCCAGGAATTCTCAAAGATGACTGCCAGTGGTTCTGAAATCACATCTGCCAGTTCTTTTAATACTCTTGGATGCAGTTCATCTGGCCCTGGAGACTTGAATACATCTAGACTAGCCAAGTATTCTTGTACTATCTCCTTAGTTATTCTGGGCTGTGTTTCCTCTGCTGAATCATTTGCTCCAAATTCTTCAGGTCGGGCATTGTTTTCTTTATCGGAGAAGACTGAGGCAAAGAAGGCATTGAGGAGTTCAGCCCTTTCTGTGTCCCCTGTTTGCATTTCACCATCTTCTCCTCTGAGTGACCCCACGGTTTCTTTGTTCTTCCTTTTGCTACGAACATACCCATAAAAGCCTTTTTTGTTGCTTTTAACCTCTCTAGCAAGCCTGAGTTCATTTTGTGCTTTAGCTTTTCTGACTTTGTGTCTACACGTGCTGGCTATTTGTTTGAATTCCTCTTTGGTGGTTTCCCCCCTTTTCCATTTTTTGTACACATCCTTTTTTAATCTTAACTCAGTTAAAAGTTCTTTAGATAGCCACCCTGGCTTCTTTAGGCACCTTCCATGTTTCCGTCTCATTGGTATTGCCTGAAGTTGTGCTTTTACTATCTCCCTCTTAACAAACTCCCAGCCATCTTGAACTCCCTTTCCTTTTAGTATTACTGTCCATGGGATCTCACCCAGCACTTCCCTAAGCTTTATGAAGTCGGCTTTCTTAAAGTCGAGAAATTGAGTCCTAGTATGCTTGGCTGCTCCTTTCCGCTGTATAGTAAACTTCAGAAGAGCATGATCACTCGCGCCTAATGATCCTTCCACTTCTACCCCACTAACCAGGTCATCAACATTGGTTAGGACCAGATCTAAAATGGCTGTTCCTCTTGTTGCTTCTCCCACTTTCTGGACAATGAAGTTGTCTGCAAGGGCAGTGAGGAATCTGTTTGACCTTATGCTCTTGGCTGAGTTTGACATCCAACAAATATCCGGGTAATTGAAGTCCCCCATTACTACTATCTCCCTTCCTTTTGCATGCTTGGCCATCTGTTCCAGGAAGGCATCATCTATGTCCTCCGTTTGGCTTGGGGATCTATAGTAAACTCCCACAATGAGGTCACTGTTATTCTTCTCTCCCTTAATTTTGACCCAAATGCTCTCACTTTGGCTTTGAGGTTCTAAATCTTGGATCTCTTCACAGGTATACACATCCCTGACATATAACGCCACTCCTCCTCCTTTCTTGTCTGGTCTGTTTCTTTGAAATAGATTGTATCCCTCCATTATTACATTCCAATCGTGGGATTTATCCCACCAGGTTTCAGTGATTCCTATTATGTCATATTTAGTTTGCTGTACCAGGAGCTCAAGCTCATCTTGTTTATTTCCCATGCTTTGCGCATTAGTGTACAGACATTGAAGTCCATTAATCATTCCCCCGTGTCTCTTATTTAAGGATTTTCTCCTCCCACCACTAGGTCTGCATGCTCTTTGCTCCATTCGGTCTATGACATTTGGATGATCATCTTCATCAATTGATAGACTCCTACCTTCAGGAGCACTGTCTCCCTCCCCCACATTAGTCAGTTTAAAGCCCTCCTGATGAGGTTTCTGAGATTTTTTGCAAAAACATTCCTCCCAACCGTTGTGAGGTGCAGCCCATCGCTTGCCAGAAGTCCATCTTCAAGAAACTGCATTCCGTGATCTAAGAATCCAAACCGTTCCTGTTTGCACCATTTGCGAAGCCAGTTGTTCACTTCCACTATTTTTCCCTCTCTCCCTGGGCCACGTCGTTCAACTGGGAGGACAGATGAGATGACAATTTGTGCATTTAATTGCTTCAATTTCCTGCCCAGAGCCTCATAATCTCTTTTGATCTTCTGGAGGCTATTGCTTGCAGTGTCATTGGTTCCCACATGAACCAAGAGGAAGGGGTATTTGTCAGTGGGTTTTATGATTCCTTGCAGTCGTTCAGTTACATCTTGGATCTTAGCCCCGGGGAGACAGCACACTTCCCGAGACATCTTGTCAGGCCCACAGATCACTGCTTCTGTTCCCCTCAGTAGGGAATCCCCTATCACCACTACACGCCTCCTCTTAGGTCTGGTCGGGGTTCTTCTGTGAGCTGTCGGTTCCAAGGTCGCCTGGACATTCCCAGAGGACTGCCTTTGCTCCTCGTCTTCATATACCTGATCGACTGTAATGAGGGAGAGATCCTCAAATGGAGTCTGCTCTTCGTCTTCCATGCTAGGGGAAAGGACCTCAAAGCGATTGCGTATTTCTAAACAATCAGAGCGAACCCTGGGCCTCCTACTTCTTTGAGTCACGTTTCTCCATATATCTGGCTCCTGTGTTGGTGAACTAGCCACCTTCTCAGGGGAGTCCCCTGTCTCTTCCTTGGTGGAGACGGTGTGCTCTGTTGCTTCCAAGAAGAGTTCCAGCTCTCTAATTCTTTGGAGCGTAGCTACACGTTCCTCCAGTTGCTGGACTTTGTCTTTTAAGAGGGCAATCAACATGCAATTGCTGCAGGTAAAGCTGCCTGCAACCTTTGGCAAGATGGCAAACATT